TGAGCCATAATATCACCTGCGCATTTGGTTAATTTTAGCGAGATTGGTTTTCTAATTATCATCAAATGATCACTGACCTATTAACGTTCCTTCTACCTTCTACACTAAAAATGTTCATTAAATCTCTTATCCGAATTTACTGCACTTAAATTGTAATTCCTCTAGGATAATAAATAAATATATTAAAAATCAACTTTGATGCTGTAAAGTACTAAGGGTAAACCATCCTTTTATCAAAGAAATTCGATGTCATATACATGTTATTCTGATTGCGACTAAGTTTTGCTTGCCTGTACATGCCATTTGTAGTTTTTAAAAACGTTTTAGGCATGTGCATATGATCTCTAGGCGGCTTTATTATATTCAGACGGTCATCTACATATAAACTAACGTAGCAGTGGTGAGTGTTGATACACCTCCATCGGTTCTCGATGTTTGGTGTACGTGTGTAGTAATGATTTTGGTATTTTAAATAATGCCGCCCATTCACTGTATATATAATTTCACCTGTAACAAATAAGTTTTTTAGTTGGATACGTTTGCTTTGTCAAAAAATGTACTATATTATTTAATATGAGTGGGTAGAAATAAAACATTCTATATTGGCAAAGTATCCTTATTATTTTCATCATCAGTCAAAAATATGACGAATTAATAAATATCCAATAGTTACACAGCTAGTGTTCTTGTACCAAATCTCACTACGATACAATATGATCATATTATGCACGTCATAGTGATAGGACACCAGTAAATTTTCAGTTTTTTTAGGTCCCAAGATTTCCCGAAACTATAAAGGAAGTAGAGCACATAGTGATATATTTCTATTTCCGGCCGATATCGAGACGAGTAGCGAAGAAACGCGTAATTTGAACGTCTAGAGTTATAAAATATTTTAAAAAGATTAAGATATCTATATTGATATTGAAGGTTGATTTTTATGGGCAATATTAAAAATTAACCTTCAATATCAAAAATAATTTACTTACACTATGCTCGTATGTCCGCAATTGGGTCACTATTTGAGATTTTTATTTACAGTAGATTTGGAAAAAAATAGGATATGACAGCCAGAAAGAATAATAGACCCGTGGAGTGGAGATCCATTTCCTTTTCCTCATTTCCTCGATATATAACCAATGTAATGAGAAGTTTCTATATCAGAAATTAGTAGAATCATTAATGTACATACATATCTGTCCTTACAAGGCCAGACATTTCATTTAGTGTTAATTCCTTGAGTCAGTAATAGTGAATGTATGATGAAACACTTAAAGAGTTTAAGTAAAACAAAAAAAATATGGTCTAGTTTTTAAGAAAGATATTATTAATTTGCACGGCTACGTAGATGCTGATTGGGCATCTTGTAATATGGATAGAAGATCATATACTGGGTATAGGGTTTTATTTTGGCAGGATGTTTAATGAAATGTGTATTAGACAGGAAGATACCTATGTATATGTTAATAATGATAACCAAAGCTGTATAAAATTAACTGCTAATCCACTATTTCATAAGTATATATTTATAGTTTTTAACAAAAAATCTCTGTACTATTAAGCATAATAATTTTTTGAAGTTGTTAGGCATCTCGGAAATCTAAGTGTTTTTTTTTTGTTTCACATTATCATTTCATTAAGGGAGGATAATTTTAGTTAATTATCAATTTTAGTAACTAAATATTAAAAATAATAATAAAGAAATCAAGGGTAGTCGTTATGAAACTGTCATTGTGTTTTAATAGCAACGAGCGTAATGGCCGTTAGACATTTTAATAAGCAATCGTTTTTCATGATTATGATCAGTGCTTCCCTCACAAATCGTCAGATTATTATCGATTTTTAGAAACGCTAGGCATTTTGGGAACGTTGTACAACACCATTTGTTAAATTTCTTCATTTTATATCTTTTATAGAAGGTGTATCCTTCATGTAGGACTAAACACTTGTTGTTGGACATAGTTATCAACTTGGCTGAAATCAAATAGTATTGTTATAACTTAAGAAGAGCGAATATACGCGTACTTTGAAAGTGCAGAATTAACAAATATTTTAAAAAGATTAAAGATTTTCTATTTTGCCATTAAAAATCAACCTTCAATATCAAAAATCATTTATTTACACTATGCTCGTATGTCCGCAATTGGGTCACTATATGAACTTTTTATTTACAGTAGATAAAGAAGAAATAAAATAGGATATGAGAGACAGAAAGAATAATAGACACGCGAGGGCCCATTTCCCTTTTCCTCATTTCCTCGATATAATAAAAATAAACCTTAATAATTTTATTAGTAATATTAAGATTTAGACCAGTACTAATTCAATTCAATGTTTTAAATGTAGTTTTTAGACATAACAGGATTTTACTTAAAAAGAAATCAGTGTAAGAAATTTATATTTTGAGGTAAGTATTATGAATATCAAAAGTTTATTTATAATAATGTGTGAATTGAATTTACTAATATTTTTCTTATATATGACTTATTCGTTATAATTAAATAGGTCTTGCAACATTTCCAATCAAAGTTTTTATGGAGTTAAAAAAAAAAATTCTTATATTTAAAGCATGTCATGTCTTTATATATTTGCCATTAGGACATCTATGTAATTTTCTTTTTAAATGTTCATGTGTAATAATGCCTTCGAGGATATGATAACTCTCATCCACACACAAATACGCCTTGCATCTTGGGAAGTTTGTACACACCCACTTCTGCCCCAACTTCAAGTAATACCGAAAGAAGAAAGTGTATCCATCGTAGACTAAGCATGTTTTGTTGGTATCCATAGTTATTAGTTTTGCTGAAATCATTGATAAGTATGAATTATTTCACTATGTCAATTCTAGATTTTAATCGATTTCAAAAAGAAGAGTAAATTAATTTATAAAATTAATAAAAATAATTATTTTATAAATTTATCTTCTTATTTCAATAATTTATCTTTTTATTTTCCTTTATCTTATTTTTCCCTTTTTGATTCCGCTTTTGTTCTCTCCATCTTTATTTTCAATTTCAAAAAAATATGTTTTTTTTGTATGACAGTGACACAAATGATCATTCATCATTAAAGACTAAAAAAAGATTCCGACGAATTGAGAACCTCCTCGTCTTTGGAAGTCGGTTAAAAATAGTTATAATGAAGAAATATATTAGGTAACAAAATTTATTAAACAATAACTTTTCTTATCATCAGTATTATGTATATAACAAAATATTAGTAAGGTACACACGTTTTATATCGATAAAAGATTGAACACTACAGTGAGGAAAGATTATCCAAAACTATAACACGACAAGAAACGGTTGACAAATTTGCTTATTACGAAATTAGTTTCATATAGGTACCAGCGTATAAGATCAAAAGTGAGATTAGTAGCAGGTTTTTTCTTATTTTTTTCATACATTGTAAAAACGCTCAGATATTTCACGTTTTGTGCAGGTAATTTTAAAATGCTGCTAATTTAAAAAAATGCACAATAATTGATCTAAAAGGTCTTTCAATTGCACAAATAGTTGTCGTGAATATTTGCAGTAAGAGCAAATACGACTATATGTATATTTAATACTAGAAAGTATCTAATTTGGACAATTTAAACCATTATTTAAAAATAAACTATACATAATTCAATTCTTATTATTTATCATCTACTTATTTGATAATAACTTACTATTCTGTGACACAGTAAATTAATAATATTTCTAAGGTTAAAAAACGTAAAGTTAAAATTACCACAAATATGAACTTAGCTTTCCTGTTCCGATCAAATCATCTATACATATAATAAAATTGTAACTAAGCCGAATCATATATATATTAGATATTTTTTGGAAAATTTTATTGAAATAAACATTATTATCGATACAGAGGCCGAATCTATGGTTTTTAGAATTTTTGTCTGTCTGTCTGTCTGTCCGTCCGTCTGTCTGTCTGTCTGTCTGTTATCATTTCTGAGAAAAAATACAAAAACTACAATGTAAGAGCTTTTTAGTCATCTTGACGCGAGTGGAGCCGCGGGCAATGCTAGTTAATATATAAAAACAAAGGTACACATTTCCTAAAAAATATCTCTTTAAAGTGGCTTCGATATGTGACGTTAAGTAAAACGAAAGCATAAAATTCTAAAATCGAAAGTTCTAATTGTCTAAACACAAATTCGAATTTAGCAAATTACATACATAAAGTATTTTTTAAACGAAACAACGTTTTTTTTACCCGAAAAGCAATGAACAAAAGAGATTTGAAAGCAGTGTACTATTTCGAATTGTGCCCTTTTTTTGAGGATACTTTTGAGACGCTAATTGTGTATCTTGAGTTTTTGTATATTAGTGGATCAAATGTAAAATTTCTAAAAAACAGCTAATTATCAAACTGTCGAGTATAATATACATTGTTTACGATAAAAATTTCTGGCATCTCATGGGAATGTACCAAATCGCCTTTCACGATCATATTACGGTCATCGACATGTAGGTAGGCGTTGCATCGCATATAATGTCTTACGCAGCGCCACCTATAGCAAACCCTATGAACCCTCGTATGTCTTGAGTACATATGCCCTTTATATAGCAAACCTATACGGTTATTGGAGCGTTGCACCAACTCTCCTGAAAAGTAAATAAATTTAAAAACTTTTAATTAATAATATAGACGGCTGATATGCATAGCAGGAATTATAATGGCTTTGTCTGTCGTTAAGATTGTTAACATTAAATAAGCAATAAATACTGTCAATAATAATTGTTCACTAGTTAAAGAATAATAGGTAATTATGATGAAAAAGTAGTATTATTGTTTTGGTTTCTTTGCATTGCAATAGATTAGTTTGGTATATGCTGAGATCTGATTGAATGAAACGCTACTCTTTTAAATCAATACAACATTTAATACGTCACAAGGATTATCTTTGACTCTAACATTTTTAAAGAATCTATATATTTATTATATAATGAAGATAAAACTTTGGCATACTATTAAAGAACTATATCTTCTTTTTAACAGAAAGTTACATTGAAGTGCTTATTTACAATGTCCCTGTATTGACGAACTGTTGAAGCTCGTTTGGCATAGTTTTTCAAATCAGGCCACTTCCAGTATAAATCAAACATTCGAGTGAAATTAAGACTGCCATTTAAATAAAGTATATGTGATCTGTTACTTGATTTAACGGGTTCAAAAGTTCTGACATGATCGCAGACTGATGCTGTCATATCCTTATCTATAATTCTTCTGTGATTATTATGACGACCACGCATGTCTGCTTTAATCGTGTTATCACTATCATACTTTTCCCACGCTGTTTTGACCATAGAATTGCCGATATTTAGTGTGTTTTGGAACATAATTTTGCATACATTTACTTTGGCTTTAATGACATCGCCTTTTTTATCGATAGGTAAATAATACCTATAAGTGTACTGTCTGTTATACATTAACTTTCTTTGTAATGTCGTTCTTAACTTATTATGCTTTTTTGTGTATTTAACTATCCATAACCATTGTTTTTCCCTGTCACCAAGTTCCCAAAATTTTTTGAAAAATCTTATTCGCTCATCTTCTGAAATTTTTGTGCCACATTGAAATTTACAGTTACAAGTTGGACCCATAATCCTTTCCTTGACGATGCGCCCCGTTCTGCTACGATATTTCTTTCCTGAATTTAGAAGTTTCTTTCTTTTAACATCTGCCCAGGCTTGTGGGTTTAGAGTCCTTTTTCTTATATTTGAGGGAGTTGAAGAATCTTCAACAGCATTATTATTTACAGCTTCTGGTGCACGATCATTAATTTCAGTAGTAGTAGATCTATGGGTTTCCTTCATATCGCTGTGTTTAATATCCTGCAACAGCACAGTAAGTCTGGCAGGGCGATTATTGGAACGGTCTATATCTAAGAAAACATCATTACAAACATCATCTGTCTCTTCTGCGATATTACATTCGTCTATTGACGTGGAAGACAGTTTATCATCTAAAATAGAATAAATAATAATTTAACGTTAGTTTTTGTTTGAACACATCGCCGATATATTTTTTTGACGTATTTATAAATTAAAAGCACATTTTGTAAAAATATTTAATTTTTTATTGTTTACATAGTAAGCATGATACAAGATTAAACAAAACATGTCCGAAATAATATGTAAACAATGAATCTTTATAACAATAATATTTTTTATAACTTATAGGACTATTAGCAATCCCATTATTAATATTATAAATGCGAAAGTTTGGATGGATAGTTATTCAATCACGCCAGAACAACTGAATGATGATGAAAACTGGATGAAATTTGGCAAAGAAATATGTATATCATAGGTTACTTTTTATCTCGGAAAATGTATGGTTCCTGGGGGATAGATTTGTTTTTGTTTTTCACAGAGCTTTTCTATTCCATATAAACCGTTAAAGCCAATTATTACCACCGAAATGTGAGATTATACTATTATAATACAGGACCTAAAAACGTACAGATTTCTCCTTATTGTTTCAGATTTGGATGCTACCTATTACAAAATAGTAGATATTGTCCCTTTTCAGTTTTCATAAATATTCTATATTTCGGTGAAAAAATCTGACATAAATTAACAAATCTTTAGATTTTAAACCATTTTTTACTTTCTCCTGTGATTTCTAAAATGGATGAACATATTTTTAAATTTTTCTAAATGTGGAGGCGGATGATTGTGATTTCCATTGAGCTTTTTAATTATTGTTTCATCATTGTCTAGTAACGCTAAAGCTTTACATCCTTTCTGTCTGGCGGAACACCGCCATCTCTTCACTTTCGTGTTTGCACTATGATATGACTTGTGAAACATATAATCTTCAATAACAAGTCGTTTGCTCCCGTTAACCATGGTAATGAAGTTAACTGTAAAAAAACGAGACCAATAACATTTGATAATTTATACAGTAAATGAGTTATCTTCAATAAACATTAACATTAACAAGAGTGAAAATAAAACCATATTAATTGCTTTTATTGTTTATAACAAATATAAATACATTTAAGAAGCAAAAATTCAGAAAAATATTGATTATTTCATTTACATTACGCATTACGTAAATGCATCTACGCAACCTTGGGACTGCTGACCTTCAAAACTACTAGCAACTTACTATAGGCATGCACGCGATTATATATATATTAATACATTAGCGTGAGTGGTATATTTTAAAACAATCAGCATGAAGATGTACTCGACATTTGCAACACATGTAAATTGTTGTACTTTTACACTGTCGGCATCTTCTTCGACGTTTACTCTCGTGTTCTTCTATGACATGACCAATATTGTCAAAACGAATATTAACAGATAACGCGTTTTTGGATGGTCTTCCAAGTCGTTTGCTCCCATCAACTATGGTAATGAAGTTAACTGCAAATAAACGAGATTAATAACTTTTGATAATTTATACAGTAAGCAAGAAAAAAAGAAAGAAAGTTTTCTTCTTTAAAAATAAGATATGGTGCGTTAAAACTAAAATTTAATAAGAAACTTAACATAGTTTCTTTAGGCAAATGATAAATAAAAATATATTTTAAAGAAATAAATGAAAAAAATATATTAGTTGTACTTTTAAATACTGTATGGCATTTACCTATACCTTCCAAGTAAAGTTACCGTTACCCATGTGTCATGGAAACATTTATGCTACTTCACTTACTTTATCATAACTCATTACGTCTTATATGTAGTACCTGGGCTACCGAGCTTCGCTCGGAGTTTTTGGCCTAAAGTACAATTTTCTTTTTTTTTTAAACTAAAAACTTTAATAAATATTAAAAAGAACAAAAGAAAAACTTCGTATCCGACCGAGATTCGAACCTGTGATTGTCGATCTTGCGCCTTGGCCCCTTGACCACGATGTTTGTGCCAGAATGTGCGAAATTACCGACCATATTTAGTGTCGAATAATGCGAAAGAAGAAGAGATATCTAATATATTTAAACGAACAATTCTTGTATATATATATATATATATATATATATATATATATATATAATATATATAATCTGAATCTCGGAAACGACTTATTTCGTTACTTGCAACTATTCAATCAGTACAGCCTAGGCCAAACTAGTTAGCCTAAAGTATTTAGGCTAAACTAGATTGTCTTGGGTAAAAGTAGTATATATATAAAAAACACTATTGAGTTGTATAATTTTAAGAAATTTTCTACGGAAGAGCGGGACATCCTGGCACAGGTATCTATTTACTTAAAAGGATGTCCAAATAACGGACTTAATGTATTTAAAAACTCTTTTTATTAATAAATTCATTTTCATTTTTTCATATCCTGGCACACTTAGGATGAGTCGGTTTGGCCTAGGAAAAACTAGTTTGGCTTGTAATCGGATTCGGCCGGTAACAAATAATATATTTAAAGGTATTTGATCAAAATAAATAATGTAAGCATAACATGTTTAAAACAAAATTACGCCGTACGCGGCTGTAGAAGTTCTTGAACTACCCCCAGGTATTGTGTTATTAGGAAGTGACAAGTTTATACGTTCAGTAATGTAGATGTGTACCTAACATTAACCTTTATAGATTTATAAATAACTCGAGACTCACCTTCGCTTCGTTGGGTTCGTCCCTAGCTTGCTTCCCAACACAAACTTTCATCCCCATTTTCACCCCCTTAAGGATGATTTCCTGAATAAAAAGTATCCTATGTCTTTTCCAGGGTCTCAAACTATCTTCTTACCAAATTTTATCTAAATCGGTTCAGTGGATCCAGATATTACCCCCCTACAACGTCACAAACTCACAACCTCACAAACTTTACCTCTTTATAATATTAGTATAGAAGTATAGATTATTGAATTTAATTATTTTCCCTCTTTATCTAATAAGTCATTATATGACAGTGTGTGTGTTGTGTATATCTTGATGTGTGCATGTTATAAAGGCGGTTTGTTATTTATCAACTACTAGCAGAGCCCGCGGCTTCGCTCGCGATAAAACTAGTAAAAAACTCTAAAAAGGTAGGTTTCATATAAACTTTCATCTCCTATTTTACGCCTTTATGGAATGAATTTCGAAAAATGCTAAAACACGTATTTATTTAATTGCATTAAAGAACATTAACACCAAGTTTCAAGTAATTCTGATAAATCATAAATATTTTTTTGAGTTGTATTACAACGTGTTTTCTCATGGGAATGAGATAATCTCCCACGGTAAAAAGTAGCCTATGTCACTCCCCATTCCTCCAACTATCTCTATATCTATTACGCCAATCCGTCACTCTCTTTTGATGTGAAAGAAGGAAAAACAAACAAAAAAACACTTTTATATTTATAATATTAGTATGGATATGAATTTCATTAATACAAGTATAATTGTTATTTTACATATTTAATCCCAAATTAATTTTATTTCATAATTAATAAATTATTCCTAGAACAAAATAATTCTGTAATTTAATTATAATAAATAGCTTCAAAATTTATGATATTTTAATATAGTTTCCCAATTTATCTTCTTTGTATATCGGACGTTCATGGTCATTGTGGTTTAAATAGTATCTTATTACGTAGTCATCTTGATCGGACATCGCTACATAAGCTTTGCACTTCTTCTTCGACGCAGAGCATCTCCACTTGACTCCACCAAAACACCTGATATGACCACCCCCCTTGTGAAACGTGTATCCATTCACCATAAGAAGAATTTTCCCGTTAGTTAAGGAAATAAGCTTCGTATCTGCATTAAATAACATTTATATGTAAATATTAAAATTATATCTGGATATTGGTAAAAGTTTTTATTTTTTTTATTTTACACGTAAGTTTCAATGTGTCCACAAAAAAAGCACAGGGCATAGTTTTAAATAATATTATTTTGTTATTGACTGTAGGACTATAATATGGACGACTTTTGTAAAATTATTCAGTTCAATTATATGACAATATAAATTTTGCCTCAATTGAGCCTTAAGTCTTTAAGTCCTTACGTTAGGAATGCATGCTTTCATTAAATTTTTCAATATAATTTATAACATACTATATTTTTACTTTATTTTAGTAGATTTTGTATACCTACTCGTAAAACAGTTTTTAAGGAGAAAGAAGAGAACAAAATATTTTAATACATTTATTGTAATAAAATTAAATAACATGTCTTTTAAATAAATTAGGTACATATATATACACATTTATTAACATCAATAATTTTAAATTTCAATTTTTTTTGATCAAAAATACATCAATACATTTTTTTAACTATATGTAGAATGAACGGACGATATACTAAGTCTAACGTAGAACTTTTATTTCGAATGTTTAATTGAGTTTTCTTCTCTACCTAAAACACTGAGTTACTATTGAATCTGATGAATAACTACTATAGGTTTAAATATTTAGTTGTATTTTAATAGACATCGATATAATAAAATTTGATTTAAAATACAATCTTGTGCTCATGCCGTGACTGTACCATTATCATGGGATACTGATTTTTTGCTTCTGTACTAGAAACCAAACGTTCCCCCTGACTTTTTCTTTCTTAATTTGAATCATGTTTACATATTACAATATAGACTATAGAAATTTTAAAATTGACTATAACAGACACCGAATCTACTTTATAATGTTGAATGTGTTTTGATTTTTTCGTCTAATTATTATATTATTATATTTGCTAAATATCCTTTTACATGCGTAAATAGGAGCCTAAAGGAGTTTTTTTGTATACAGGCGGTTCATGATTGTGTGACCCAGCAATTCGGAGTATAGCATCATCTTTTTCTGTCACTACCACAAATGCCTTACACTTGCGTTTTTTCTTTGAAGAACACCGCCATCTGAACCCTCCACAGTATTTTACTGTCGCTACTTTGTGATATGAATATTTGTCTAATAATAACAACTTCACTCCATTTATTAATTGTATGAAGTGTGGACCTGCGAAAAAATATATACCTAATGTAATATATATTTTTATCGCTTTAATTTTGACTATAATTAAGAAAATAATTCTAAGTACGTAAATCAAAAAAAAATACTTACAAATTATAACTAAAGTAGTTTATACGAAATGAGACGAGACAGTCAATTTAATTAATTAAAATATCTATACAAACTGAAACCATTATCTTATATTCGCTTAAATAGTAATAACACAACACGATTTACATGATTTTAGTATTTAATTCAAAATTCTAGAATTTTTTTCCATAATTTTACATGTTTAACTTTGGTGTTTCAGGTTTGGGCTAGTTGGTTGGAATGGAGCAGTCAGACGATAGAATGAATGTGTTTGAGTTCTGACGGCGAGTCGGGTTGCAGATTTTAGATAGGCTTTAGTTAGTGTTATTTAACGGTAGAACCTTCCAAAGTTGACTTGTAACGAAATACTTTACAAACGGAAATTAATGCGTATTTGCATAAGAAATTATTACAAAAACGAAAAGTATCCTTTTTAAATTGCTAAGGTTGCTAAGCTTTATTTTAAAGTCTGTGGTCAAATTGAAAATTATGTATAGTTTAATGGCTATTGGTTCGTCCCTAGTTACGTTTTAACGTTTAGTATAGATTTCTCAGAGACGAATATTTTCTCGCAGTAAAAAGTATCCTATACGTTGACCCGGATAACCATTTATCATCATACAAAATTTCATCAAAATCTGTCCAGTGGTTTTCTCGTGATGCGTTCACAGACAGAACCACACAACAATTAGAAAACAGAATTTTATTATATGTATAGATTTTACTGTATATAATTATATTATGCAAAAAATATCTCATTTTATATTTTGACGTATAGTCCTGGCAAAGCCTCGGTATAAATGGGAGGTTCATGTCTATGGCTGCCACTTATCCTATAAATATTTTCTTCATCTTCAGAGAGAACCACAAAGGCTTTGCATTTGAACTTCTTTCTTGACGAACATTGCCATCTTATTCCCCCATTATATTTAACACCTGCTATTTTGTGATAGGTGTAGTCATCCACCACAAGCAACGTAGACCCATTTAATAGTTTCATGAAGTGAGCATCTGGTGAGAGACAAACATAAAATATTTCCAATACTATAAAGAAAATAAAATAATTGTATTTTATAGACTTTTCAGGCCTTATTAAGTTTTATACTGAGTAATTCATAATATTTTTCCATTTCATACTTTACTTTTAATATTGCTATTTTCAGGATTTGAAACATATTTGGCTATATACATATGTATTTAAGCATCCAGCGATTTGTATTCTTCATCATGTTGTTATATAACATAATGGTGGTAGAGAGCAATATTAAAAAACATCGTGTAAATATGCTATATATTATATATTGTTTCAACAGATATCATTGTTTATATACTAAAAATAAGTCGCACAGTTAGTTAAAGATATACTATGATAAAAGAGAATTGAGTGAAATAGTCAATTTCTTGCTCTTCTTCCTACATCATGTTGAGATAGTAGAAGGCGCGAACAATATTCAAGATAAAGGTAAAGAGGGTCCTGTGGAAGGTTTGTTCTAGTGCGTGCGTCTCAGCACTTCATTGACCATGTTTTTTAACTCAATAATTAAATGTTATTAGTTTAAGTAATTTCTATCCATTTTGGAATTACAATGTAAATAAAAAAATAAATAAATATTCGTGTGTATGTACTTAAAAGTTCAATCAAAATAAAAGTGCTTTTGGACAATTATAATTAAAAGGAAGGAAATTGTATATAAAAAGAAAGAACACAAAAGATCCCAAACCTTAATTTATAACAACAATAATTAATACAATTAATCTACATTCTACATTTTATAAAATAATCCATTGACTTCTTTATATACAGGCGGTTCGTGATTATGAAAGTTATTATAAATACGTAGATTTTTTCCATCTTCACCTACTACAAAATGTGCCCGACATCCCCTCATTTTATATGAGCATCGCCATCTGACACCGCTTCTCTTTGCAGTCACAGTTCTATGGAAAGTAAATCCATTGATCATGGCTAGTTCCTTCCCATTCATCAGCCGTATTAATTTCACTGACAACAAAAAAATAATTTAAATTAACTTATTGGACTTTAAACTAAAAAAAATAACACACATTTTTCTGTTGTACAAAATCATCAAGTAGCAGGTTGTAGGTAAAATTTTCGCTTGTATGGATAGCCTGCCTAAACATTTATGTATGGATTCCTATCCAATCCAAGTTTATTGTAATATGAAGAATCAAGTAATTGATCATCATACATTTACCTTGCACAAATGATATTTATTGAAGTAAAAGTATTATGCGTATTAAATGAATGGTGAAAAACGACTTTTGATTTTTTTGGACGGCAGAAGTAAAAAAATGAACTAAACATTATCTATCTTTCAAGAAAGTAATTATATATGCATGTTTATTAACAGATTCAGTGCTCACAAACTTAGTCGGTAATGGCCAACAGATAATATCCTTGACACGACAGCTGTGCCAAGCGCCATATAACCTAATGACACAATAAGTGTATTCATAGAAGAGAAAAAGTCAATATAAAAACTAGCGGTAGTAGGTACTAACACTGTACCTACTACCGCTAGTTTTTACTTTACTTACTGCACTTGGTGACAAATAAGCTGTGAACTGTCAATTTCATTAAGTGAGTATAATTCAGCTATTAAAACAATCGATATTTCTAGTCTATAATGGAATTTTGAATCTCAGTTATAATTTCCATATAGAACCTAGAGCTCGTAATAATATACAATAAAATCGAACAAAATTACTATTTATATAGACTCCCATGATTTCTGATCTCATAATTTCCATTAGCATGACGTTCTTGATTGTTGTAAAAGAGACATTTGTTTTAATTATTTATTTATCAATAAAAACATAATATATTTATTTTTAGATATAAATTATTTACACAATAAAGTACATAATAGTAATGAATAATAAAAAAAGGAAAATTTTAAAACAATACAAGATAATGGATAAAAGTTTCAGTAATTAATTTATTTACTGAGCAGTTACTGAATATGAAGCCAGTAACATCTCAGTAATTGTGATATTTTCCAAAACAGTCTAGGCATAATCCCGGAAATCTTGGACAATCAGGACATCCATATAAAACAGCAACTCTCTTTTTTTCATTATAATAGCACACTCTACATCTTTTTCTCATTGTTTTTCCCTTTTTTTTAGGCAAATGCTTTGGTAAGTGTATCTTTCGCTCTTGTAGAGACCGAGATTGTCTCGGTGTATCAACCGTAGTTATAATTTTCTCTAAAATAAATACATTAATTAATTCATATAAAAATTCACCGTCGAAAATATTTTTTTGGCTTCAAACGTTTCTCAATATTTATAGTATAATAACCCATTTATGACTTAATAAAATTATAATAATACTATTTTATATAACAAAAATTACAAACAATTTCTGTTTACAAGTTTGTTTTTGATACTGACTAACTATAGAAGTTTCATTAATTGTAAGTTTTAATCTTTAAAAGAGACCATTTAACGAAATTGAGTTAATTATCATATAAAGCCAATTATCGCATTTCGTTTCTTCTTTAATGGGAATAGAACCTTTGTGGCATTGACAACCTCCAGTAATTTTTAGTTTTTTTTAGCTTACAATGTGACTGCAATATTAAATGGACAGAAGACACCTACAAACAAAAAGCATGAGCATTTTGGTATAACATCTCAGGTTTTAAGATATTTAAAGGGCAGCATATAAAAATATAGCAATCATTACAAATGAAAATGTTAATATAGATTTTCTTTGTATATCAAAATATTTTTATTTCACATTTTATTCACAATTCCAACACATTAAACGCAAGAAATACAAGATAAACACAAGGACATTATTCAAAATAGTCAAAGTTTGATCAAAATCGAACTTTATTTAAGACATTGCAATACAGTGTCACTTAACTATCACGATAATGTGGACATAGCTAAATATTTACTTGCACGTTAATAAAGTTAAAAGTAAATCTACACACTAGACACAGGATAATTTATCTACATATGTGTATTTCAACTAAATTTTATTCCTTTAAAGAGGAAAACTTAATTCAATTCAATTCTCTTCAAAAAGAAAACTTAATTAATTAAAGAGTTACAATTTTAGAAGCTTTTTTATTATTTAAAATGTCAAATATAAGCGTAAATCTAAGATAGTATTTTTGTTTCAATTATCAATTCTAACCTTAATGTCATTAAAGAAGAAATATTTGTGCAATCTGTCGTGTGTACAAATAATGAAAGATTAAGAACCGATCCACACTATAGTGCCGAATTGCCGATAGCGGTTCGCTCTCGATCTGGTAAACTATTGTTATACAAGAAACAATGTGTGCATTCACATCATCAGTAAGACTCACGTTTCGATACAAATCACACTCCAGCAACGTTTCTTATATAAAAAACATTACTAGACCTACATCGAACCGAGAACAGACTGTGAACGGCACTATAGAATGGATCGGCCCCAAAAGTCATGAATTTAATTATAGTGAAGTCATAAATGATTACCTAACCAAATAAGCAACGCTGACTATAGGAATTATATGAATAAAGCATAAACTTTTATCTTAAGTTCAAACCTACTAATAGCAACTTTGATGATTGCAAATTATTTATATTACTTAGTCTAAGATCTGAAGTAAAATTTTCCTTTATTTATCTGCTTAGAGGATAAAAAGAATTTATTATGAAGTATCAAATATTATGAAAAGTACTCGTTTTCTATGCATGCCTAAATCGATAGCGATAAAACTTTGATAAAATGTTGTCACGCGACCGCTAAAGTTTCTAGCATAGTTCTGTTAACGTACGATAGGTGGGTTAGCGTAATGTCGATACTTATATTATAAAGAGGAAAGTCTTTTTTGTTTGTTTTACTGAATAAGCTCCAAAACTAGTGGAACGATTTAGATGAAATTTGGTAAAGATAGTTTGGGACACTGGGAAGGACATAGGATAGTTTTTATCCCAGAAATCATCCCTTAAGCGGGTGAAAATGGGGATAAAAGTTTGTACGGCGAATCCTATATCATAACACTGATGAAGCGTTGGCGAGCTATTGAGTGCTCCACGGTTGAGATAATTTGATTTTTTGTGGTCTCGATACAACAAATACAAAGAGCAATTTAGGTGTAAATACTAAATAGCAGATAAATAAAGGCTAATCTTACTTATATGATGATATTTCGAAAGTTCATATATCTATTTATTAATCTCTAATAGGATCTAATATCCTAGTTACAAATACATAGCACATCAAACTCTAATACCTATTAGTACAGAAAGTTATATGACATATTAACTTTTTTATAAAAGTATCAGTGATAAAATATGAATCTTATAAAAAAATTATCAACTACAAATAAACTCACAATTTAAAATAATTAAAAAATATGTATGAACAAAGAGCAACTTTTTCATTTACAAATTCAAAATAATTTTGTTTCACAGATAAATTTCTAAGACAAAAAGCAAAAAAATCAATTAATAGGTATATTGTAATAAATATTATTTGTGCCCACATAATATATGGTATTACTGTAAATAAAACGGAAAGTTTTTTTTCCTTAGTACCTCTACAAAAATATTTAAGCAAGACTTACATTATGTATGTATGTGTTTGCTGTAAGTGTCGACGACGAATATTTTGTATATACGTATTATCTTAAACTCTTTTATCATATTAATTTTGTGATAATAATAGATCAATATGCTTCAACTTTTTAGTAAAAATCTATATTTACTTCTAACACTATATAGTATGACTTATGAATAGTCTGCAATTATAATTACTACGTGCATATATTTTGTCCAGGTAAGGGCCTTGGCCTTGGCCTCAAAAAATATATTACAAATTTTAATTTTATATTGTTACTTGTAGTAAAGGAATATCCTCTTCGCCTTAAGGAGGATTATTCCATAGTCCACTGAGCTGGTCAAGTACAGGTTGAAGGACTTCATATGTTCTTTGAAAACCAGTCAGGTCTGTCGAAAACTTACTAAGTTCTCTCAGATATGTAGGTTTTCTCATGAGGTTTTCTTTTACCGTATAACAATTGGTAATCATGCTCAAAATAATTTGCACATTAAAATGTCAAATATGCAATACCTGGGGTTAGAAGTTTGAACCCGCTCCACTGGATTTTCCTAGCGAGTACGTTACTACTGCTCCACTGCCTAATGCCTGAGCGATCCCCCTCGCATTCTTCAATTCCAGGGAGGCCCGTACCCAGACAGCAATGGGACGTTTATTATAATGTAAATATTACTTTATCTATACTTCTAATATTAATGAGGCCTCATTAAAAAAAGTATATAGGTATATCAGAATAAGTCCGATCGGTTCACCAAAAAAATTACAATCGGTTAAATCAATTTTCCAGTACAAGTGTTACTGTAGTAACCCAAAATGCTACGAGTACTTTAGTTCAAGTACCCTAGGATTTTTTCATAAAACCCATTGTTAAGTCTCCATTATATAAGAATCAAAATCTACTGACAATAATTAATTTAAGACTTCTAAAAGCAATCACTGTAACGTCAATATGGATGAAACTATTAACAAAAATGGGCACTAGGCAAACTATAGGTTTTATTCGAAAATCTTATGACTTGGTTTCATTATAACCAGGTTATATAAGCACATTTTAAAATTTGTTAAAGCATGCATTTCGTGACATTTTCAGAATTATCAAACATTATTTATCTAAAAATATAAAAAGCTATCAATAAGAATATCGTTCGAGAAGAATTGTCCTAAAATTTTCAATCTGTATGAAACAGCTAACAAACGTCATTTTTATAATAGTGAGCACAAGTACAAGATGATATGGATTCATTCAGTTACAACATAATACATATATGGCTATAGTAACAATAATTTTTAGAACTCTTGTAGAACCATTTGTTACTAAAGAAGAAATTACATAAGAGTTAATTTGTTTTGACATCACTAATATTGACACATAGTTTTCGTAAGCCAATATTTTTTTCTTTTAAGGGGCTAAATCTCATACTTTAAGTTATGCTCTATCGCACTAGAAATACGGATTATCCAATTTTTAGGAAACGAATTAATCAAATATCTCATGTTGTACATTATAATGGGATGGATATTTAGGATTGATGCGCACATATCCTTCGTCTGTCGCCATATATTTAGCGGGTTCATGGGTGTGTTCTGCAACCGCTAAGATTATATGATTATCTTTGCTGACATGAACGTGAGCTTTGCAATTCTTGCTATGCGAACTGGAACATGTAAATCTAGATCCTCCACCCCGGACCTTTCCACTTCTGGAGAATGTGTACTTTTTATAGAGTAACACTTTGCTTCCGGAAGCCAATTGTAGGAACTTTGCCACTTCTGAAAATTTGTAATTCTGTTAGTATTTGCATATCTTCTATGTTAGATATTTTTAATATAATTTAAAAAAAATGCTATAGACTTAACTTATAGACTAGGTCAGTTAAAACCGTCATAGCCGTTAAAGAATTTTTAAATGTTTATTACTGATATTTACGGTTATGACTTCAGCCATATCAATCCAAACGAATTGTTTAATAGAAAATGAAATGATATAAGTAAAACTTATCAAATGTATTTATTTAATAAAGTCATTTGTTGGTATACCTAGTAGTCAAAATGTAAGCCTAGTATTTATGTAATAATATTAAAATTATAACTATGTCGTTTTAATGACTTACATACAGTTATGTTATAAAAACTACAAACAAAAAAGATTGGTCTAAAAAACGAACTGTCTAAAAAAATAAACTAACACGTATTAAAAAAATACTGTCTAACACATTATGGTGATTCATCAAAACTGCGATTGGTACGCTATAAAGACTTAAATTTGCATATAAAGTCCTTTTTTAGTACTAACATATCCTAATGGAGAATGATTATGCGCCGTATCAGTAATGATAATTTCATCCTTATGGATATAGACGTGAGCTTCACAATTTTTACTTTCCAAACATGAACAGCTGTATCTCCAGAATTGCCAACCATTGCGGTAAAAAGATTCGCTTCTAAAATAAGTGTACTCTTCGCAAAAATGAAGTTTTGAGGGTGTGATGTAATATGCTAAAAACAATGAAAAAACATAAATATTTACAAAACTATTATCTTAGCAGATTTCATTTATTAGATTTGTGTTTAAAAGTCACTTATCTATAGCATTGCAGAACTCGACAATTCACTCAACTCACTCAACAGAATATGACACTAAAATTATAAACGTACCTATATGTAATATATAATAACATTAGTCTTTTAGTGAGTGTGTTTGTTACTTCTTCGCGTCGCTCAACAAATTTGAGTGAAATTTTGATTAGAGACAGCTTTGATTCTGCATTAATACGTACACTATTCTTCCACCAATAAAAACTAGTATCACCGTAACACTAAAATTTATATAGATATTTCATTTAATCTTACATTTTTTAATTTCTTAAGCACACTAATGATAACGTACCATATTTTCAACGTCTATATCTTCACGTAAAGACCGTTTTTCATACGCATGTACGCTTGCGGTGGATGATTATGTTCTGTCATCGCGTAAATTATTGTGTCATCTTTACTGACGTGAACGTGCGCTTTGCATCGCTTGCTTATAGAACATGAGCAGGTATATCGATAACCTTCATTTCTAATCGTTCCGCTTTTAAAAAAAGAGTATTTCTCGTACATTAGAAGCCTGGTGCCTTTAAGAAGATTGATATATGATGCTAGAAAAGAGAAATGCTGTCTTAAAAATAACCCTGAATTTACTTTAGCTGTATAGTAGGTACAGGTTTATTTTAAATGAAATAACTGAATAAAAAATATATTTTTACTATGATAATCTAAAATATATACAGCTATATAATATTATTTTATTAATCTAATATTTATTTTGAGCTATTTGGTTAATCATTTAAAAAAACTAGAACAATCATTCTATAAAGAGAAAACAAATTGAAGTTATTCTTGAGGCATTTTGCACCAATTCATGGGTTTTATTTTAGGAAATATTTTTTGAGGCAAATGGTTGTGAAAGATACACTTTTGTATGATGGTGCCATTGGCATCAACATTGACGAAAGCTTGGCAGCCGTCACTAACAAAGTTCATACATTTAAATCTCGACGCCCCAGCGGGTGTGCAAATAGAACCGCTTCTGAAGTACGCGTAATCTTTGAGTTCGAGAATTTTGGCTCCTTTTTCGGACGTGGTAAAAATAGCTGTAATAAAATTTTGTTATTGGTAAATTAGAATAATTTGCTTTTGTCGCGTTCAAATTTTATAGTAATTTGTAAAGCCAAATGCATTTTAATTGTTTAATCTAACATAACAAAATATACAATATATTTTTTTTGGTTTTGATGAATCTGCAATGAATCAAAATAATTGTCTACTATGGAAAAAAAAGTTTTTGAGTTATTTACATATTATCCATAATACTTTATTGACCTCTGTTTGTAACTCACAAATAACCATCAACAAAATAATATTTTTGTGAGTTTTGATCATTACATTTTTGACCGACGAAAAACTTGGGGTGACTTGAATAATTTGCGTAGTAGGTAGTACATTTATCTACATTTTTTTCGAAAGTTATTAAACGACAAGTAATAGATGGTTTAAAGCAGGATTCACATATACGTATGCCCCTCATGGTATATAAACCCCATATTTTTCTGTCCTAAACTACTGCCGCACGAGCATTATAGACACCACTTACTTTTGTTTTCTCGCACTGAATACATAAGTACAGAGACGAAGTTTACTAATAGTGTAGTAACTTAAACAACATGTGTAAATTTCTAATCAAAATATTTTTGGAAAAAGTTATACGCAGAAACGGTTTACACTACATGGATCTCTGATGTCTGGGATGCGAGGGAGGAACGCTAGTCGTTAAATAAAAGTCATATTTAAAAACCATTGGTACATTCATTTTATTGCGCTAGACATCAATGAAAATAATTTTTGACCAAAAAAAATGTTTTTCATAATTCGTCATTCTTATACTTAAACATTGAAATAAATCACAGTGAATCTTAAAGCTTTAAATTAATAAACACAGCTTGTCGACTAGATTTCATAAAGATACTAACGACCAGAAAAAATAACTTATCTTTAACCTGTTTTTAAAATTTTTGTCTGTCTGTCTGTCTGTTACCGCATCACAGAAAAACTACTGGAGGGATTTTGATGAAAATTGGTATGGTGATAACTAGTTATCCGGGTCAACATATAGGATACTTTTTACCGCGGTATGCAAATGCAAAGCATCAAGCTACTCAAGTCAGCAAACCTAAGAATTTAGTTTTTGGTCATCCGAACGCGGGCGGAGCCGCGGGTAATGCTAGTAACTGATAAATGTCGATTTTAACTATACATACACAAGGGTGGTCGTGATATATAAATTTCAATACGTAAAATTCGATATTGAAGGGTAGAATAAAATAGTTTCAATTCAATTAAAAAGTGATTGTTACATATGCATATATCAGCGGCGATGGGGTCTTATAATTCGACTCCCATCGGATTACCTTTTAAAAGCAATGTGGATTATTATATCACTGAGTGTTTAAATTAAAAAAATCTTATGTTTTTTAATTAGTATATATTGTATAAACCTAGTTTTTAGTTGAGTTTCTGACATAACTAGTCTGAGAATTAGACTCATTCAGTCTAACTTGTATTAAAATTTAACCTTTCGCCACTGGTATATACTATATCTAACCGCTGTGAGAGAAAAAAACAAAAGAGGTGTGTTTGGTCGTAGATCGTTGAAGATAATGTACCTATATAAAATTTAAAATACTTACACCTTCATATATATTTAATAATTATAATTATATTTACATTCATCTATACATGTAAATGTAAATAACATAATAATTAATCTACGCATCAAAAGTAAATAGTGAAAATCTAATAATTATCTACATTTAATTACGTATTGTAAGCACTCTCTTTTTGTAAAAGTACTTTATAGTTATAATTAATATATCAAATAATTATTAATTAATTATCATACTAATTTATAAATTAGTATGATAATTTTATCTTTTACATTAATTATTATTTTACATTTGTAATTGTTACTTGTAACAGACCTCATACATTTTCCTTAAATCCGAAGGAAGATAGAGCCAAACCGCTATGAAAAGTAGCGTAGTTGCGTGTTGAGAGGACAACGGAAGTACCTACTTATTTATTGAGGATTTGTTACTTTAATTCAGTCAACATTTGCAATTTCCAGCAATTATTTGCTATAATTTCGATTTATAACAGATCCTCTCAAACAAAATTTTATTTTATAATAGAAAGCTGACTTATGTATTTAGAAGTACATATAAGTAGACATACCTATGTATATAAATATATTTTTTGCCAATTTGTTTTCTACTGAATATTTCTTATGAATCATTTGTCAATTAAGTTTATAAGCCCTTTTAATGACATATTTTAGTGTTAAAGTAAAATCTCATATATATATATATATATATATATATATATATATATATATATATCTTATATATATAATTCTTCTGTGAGTGTGTATGTCACTGAACTTCTCTCAAACGACTGGACCGATTTTGATGAAATTTTTTGTGTGTGTTCAAGGGGATCTGGGAATGGTTTAGATTCACAATTTGAATAATAATTTTCATCAAAAAAATTATTAAAAAAAGTTTGAAATTTTCAAATTAAAGACGTGTAGACAGGACAACGTCTGTCGGGTCCGCTAGTATATATATATATAAGTTTGATACGTAACATATGCCAAGTAATCGAGGCACTTGTTCTGATATCTATAATATATTTTAAATAGATATTTAATATAAATATAAATTAAGAAATAAATGAGATCAAATAAATGCTTTAAACAATAACTGTTTCTTATTCTAACCTTGTTGTCAAGTTAGCCAAATATGTTAGAATATGGCCTGCGTTTCTGCTACCATGCACGCTTCTTTTTTCCGTTCACGTTAAAGGCAAACTTCTGTAAGTGCATTCTGGCGTGTATCTATATAACCAACCATCTTAATATGAAATCTTCAATACCATATAACTTTTATGTAAAGTCAAAAAATTTGATGTTAGACACTTCTATACATATAATAAAATTCTAACTAAGCCGAATCTGTACATTAAATATTTTTTGGAATATCTTATTGAAATAGTCATTATTATCGATACAGAGGCCGAAACTATAGCTTTTAGGACTTTTGTCTGTCTGTCTGTGACCGCGTCACGAGAAAACCACTGGACGGATTTGGATGAAATTTGGCATAATGATAGCTGGTTATCCGGGTCAACATATAGGATACTTTTTACTACGGGAAAATATCTCATCTCTGAGAAATCTGTACAAAACATTAAAACTTAACTAGTGACGAACTCGAGCGGAGCGAGGGTGAATCAATAGTAATCAATAAATTTTATTACTTTCATAAATATACTATAGACCTTAGAGTGTGGGTATCTATTATTATAATCTGACATTATTATTTCTAGTAACCGAAAAATCTTATAGATGGAATATTGATATATTTTAATTTCGTTTATAAAAATAATTGCAAGAAATCAAAAGATCACTGTTGCATAATAAGCTCCCAAAAAATTTACATCCATCTTGTATAAATAATTATCATCCTCATTATTCGCCTTTTCTTGAAGAAAGGCCGAACGCCGGATGTGTGTGGTGCATGTTACTTCTAACTATACGTAGATCATCGGATAGATGAAGGTACGCTTTGCATTTGTGCCACCTGTTCTTTGTGCAACCCCATCTGAATCCTGTCCGCGTCCTGCTTTGCTTGTAATACGTGTAGTTATGGTATACCAGTCTCGCCTTACCTCGTGACGTCATGAATATATTAACTGAAAGGCAATAGAGTTAATAATTCAAAAATATTGTTCGTTCAGTAGGTCCATGAAAATCTGATTTTAAATGAAAGCAATGCTTTTATACCCTTGCGAAGTAAGATAGTTGTTTTGAAGCATTTTTATTATTATCCTTAAATACTTAACGTCAAAAATACAATTATTTATAAGTCTATGAACTGACGTTATTTAAAAGTTTACGTAATATTTTTTGTTAAATAAGATAGGAGTATCAAGGGTAGTTAAAAGAGCATAATCCATAAAATCCAGTATTTATTACTGAATACTACTAACACTAAAGATAAACATTTATTAACTCACGGTATATAAAATCTTACAAGAAAAGCATTTTGATATCATAATAATTACTATAAGAAGAAATGCTCTATAATGAATCTACAGATACAATAATTTCAATAAGTAACAGGAATAAAATTTATTGTATAAGAGACAACCCTATTGCTAAAACACCGATGTCTTCCATGTAACCTTAAGGTTAGTCAGAAATTGGAAACCTGTTAGAGGGAAAGGGTGTGATCTGTTATAGTAGAAAATAAAAATATTACTAAAAACATAACTTATAGTTAAAATACATACATTGTATCATTAATATTTTATTACATAAATCAAAAAAATCTTTATTATATTCTCAAACTATATTGTAAATATTATTTTATTTAATAAATCATTATTTTTCAAAGATAAAATATTAAAGGAAGATAGAACAACGATTATTTCTTATAAGTAACATTATTTCTGATAATACATTTTATAGAGAAACATTTTACAGTCTAATATAGATTCCACTTTTGCTTTTGTGAAGCAATATCCTGGCATGGTTATGCATCCACTTCGGTGGGAGTACCACTTGGAGGTAGTCGTCCAAATGCAAATAGGCAGGACAGCCTCGTTTGGTGCATTGCCATCTCGATCCCCCGCCCTTCTTTATCGCACTGTGTTTATAAAATGTATGCCCTTGGTAATAGAAACGCTTTTTTCCATCTCCGAATTCTATCAATCCTTGAATAGAATAATAATAACAACTTTAGTATATTTTCTGTGAACACCAATTCTAGTTATTAGTATTTTTGATATAAAATTTTAAAAATAATATAAGGGTTTTGTAGTAAAATAAGTGAATATTTCAAGGGTAAAGGTACAACTCATTTAAGACCTTTGCCCTTTACACGGAAACTGACATTAAGAGCTCACACGATATGGCTTAATAATATATGCCTTACAAAGATCACAGTATAATATATAAATAAAACATACATGGCGATGGAAATCTAAATTTATTACATACTCAAAATATTTTCTACTATTTCACAAAGACAACTTAAATACAAAATTAAAAAAAAATGGCAAACAAAACGATCTCTTAAATATCAAAAGAATCTAAATTTTATTTCAACATCGAATGTAGTAGGAAATTATTATTATTAAATATTTTATATACAAATATAATAATTTTGTTTAGTGGTCCGATAGATAGACTCATTGACACAGTCAGGTCACTATTGTTAGTTTTAAGCATTCTAACAACAACAAATTCCCTGCATATCGCAGAGGTTACGTAGACATACAGTCACTACTTAGACTATATCTAGAAGCCTAGATCAATGTACTAACCAAAAAATAGTTTATTACAATACTATATACTGTTAGTGTTCAGCTACTTGTAATTTAAATGACTGACTACACTGACGTTCTTTAAATTAAATTGACGATTTAAAACACTTAAAAAAACCGACTTCAAAAAAAGCACTAAAAAGTAAAAAATAACTGATTGGTAGTTTTCATTTACTATAGATACCTAATCAAATATATAAATATATTCTAAGTCAACTGGCACTGACTTCGAATATATTTGATTAGGTATCTATAGTAAATGAAAACTACCAATAAGTTATTTTTTACTTTTTAGTGTAGACATAGTAGTGGCAAAGTAAGAAGAAAGTATATTAATATAAATGTATGTACAAAAAATATCATGTCTGTCATATTCACTGTTTAGAAGTTCTCTCGCCGGAAGTCCACCCTGGGTGCATCAGACATGTCTGGATGGAATGGAATTTAGAACAGGCTATTATGGTTAAATCCATTTACAAAATTTTGTGTCTTTGCTGTTCGCCGTTGACTTCATCATCAGATCAGCTCAATAGTACCAGATTTTTGCATTGTTGCTAAACTTACATAAGTATGCAAAATTTCAGCTCAATCGGAAACCGGGAAGTGGGTCAAAATTGACTTCTAAGATTTTATTACATTGTTAGATAGTTTTTCCTCAATTTTCTTGAGATTCCATCATCAGATCCTGACCTGATGATAATGGGACTACCTCGGGAGATTACCCTTTCGAACTAAAAAAGATTTTTTTAAATCGGTTCACAATTGGCGAAAATATCGATGAACATACACAAAAAAAAACAAAAAAAAAATCATAAAGACGAACATAGAACCTCCTCCTTTTGGAAGTCGGTTAAAAAGTCCTTGTATAAGTTTAATTTAACATAAAAATAATTTCATTCATTCATTCAATTCTCTTGGCTTTAAAGCGTGCTAGTTGAGAACAGATGTTCTCAACAAGCACGCTCAAGATTACTTCGCCAATGTCACGTAGAAGGGAGAAGACATGAAATCATTCATTTATTCATAGTTTTATAAATAAATTAGGTCCAACTTCCATTAAATCGGGAGGGCTATGAGTGTGTTTTATAGGAGCTTGGTAGAGAAGTTTGTAATTGTTGTCGAGATGTATGTAGGATGAGCACTTGCCGTTCTGGCTGCACACCCAACGCGAAGCTTGCCCTCTACGAATATTGCTTTGTTTGCAAAACGTGTATTTGTGCAGGAGATAACCTGATTTGCCAGTTGTAAATTTCACTAATTTACCTGAAGAAAATTATCAATATAACATATTAATGGTATTGAACTTCTGTGATACAGTCACAAGAATTTCAGGCAGATTATAATATTTTTTTTATTAAATTGAAATATATATATTAAAAAAAATATATCATGAATTCGTTACAAGTATTTCACTGTACTATATAATGTACTCGTATGTACTAAAATTACAATACAGTGTTTTTTGTAGAATTACATAATACGTACACAAACATCAACGTCTTTGGAATTCGATTACCGTTAATAACCTAATTGTTATAAAAATTTTCAAAGCGTTTAAATCATTTTAATCAGGACGATGATGTCCTTCCGACCAATTTGGCCCACGGCGGCCAATCTCTCTGAAACTAGCCAACTGCGCAAGAAATATTATAGTGCAGCGCGTGTACCCGCAGATAGAACGTGCACTCTCTATTCCTGTTACTTTCAAATTACAATGGAACAATAATAATTTGACACACAATCGGTGAGAGATCAGGCGCAGGATCATTTCAATCTATACTAATAAAGAGGTAAAGTTTGTGAATTGTGAGTTTGTGACGTTGTAGGGGGTAATCTCTGGATCTACTGAACTGATTTAAATGAAAGGTAAAAAGATAATTTGAGACCTTGCCAAGGACATAGTATACTTCTTATCCCGGAAATCATCCCTTAAGGGGGTGAAAATGGGGATGAAAGTTTGTATGGGGAATCAACCTAGGGACGAACTCGAGCGAAGCGAGAGTGAGTTGCTAGTCATATAATAAGTATGAAGATAACTATAACTTTATTTGTGTTTTAGCGATGTGTACAATAAAAATACTTCATTTATTCATAATATAAAATACATATCGTACTTTCTGGAACCTTTTCTTTCCTTATATCTACATACAAATCATGGATATGAGAATGGATAATACCATGGAATCATATGGAACCAAAGATATAGAAATAGACATAATATTCATAAAATTAACCATTCCAAAAGGAGGCAAGGCGAGTGTTTGCCTCCTTTGTAAGTTCCCAGATAGCATTATATAAACTTGAATCTGACTTGCAATAAGTTCGATGTATCAAAGTGAAGGTTTGATCCAAAATATTGAATCAATTCTAATTATGTTGAATTTGTGAAGCAATTCTATTTATTGTATTAATAATTATTTTATATTGTACGTATTAATAATAATTATCTATCCTAATATTATAAAGAGGTAAAGTTTGTGATATTGTGAGTTTGTGATGTTGTAGGGCGTAATCTCTGGATCTACTGAACCGATTTTCAAAATTCTTTTACCAATAGAATGCTACGTTCTTTCTGTGTGTCATAGGCTATATATTAACCTGAAGAATGAAAAGACTTTTTCATGGTAGTCGGATTTGCAAAGTAAGACAGAGAAAAAACGGTCGAACTAAAACGTTTCTTACGAACGCTGCCTTAACGATAAGAGATATATGATTATGTTCTAGAGAAAAGTTGTAGAGCTTAATAATGCCTACAAAAAAGTCAGCGACAGTATATGTTTAACTTTTATATTTAAGTCACAAAAAGTAGTTTTTTATATTAAAAAAATAATTTAAATCGGTAGGTCATGTTTATTGGTCATATTATCAACAATTATGAATTCTTATCAAAATAAGTAAATTTATAGTCTTAAATATTTAAAACAAAAATCAAAAATAGAATTTATAAATGGAAGTAGTCTTAGTAGTCTAGTACTTATACCTGATATATTATTAAACCATCACAAAAAAATCTAATGATTTTATAAATGCAAGAACACATTGATTGTGAGATAAGTGAAATCATTAAAAAATCGGATAAGCGAGGGTCTGACTCACGCATTGAGCAAACCGTACGTACAACAAGCGTTTAATGTATGTTTTTAATACACATTTTATCGATAGCGAAAATAAGTATAATATATGTATTTCATAGTATTTTAATAGTATTTCGTATGTAGTAAATTCTGCGGCCTCTTCTAATAGACATGTAATGTAAAACATGTGTTATATTTTAGAAACCAATTACTCTAAGCTTTTATTTTTACTTAACACATTAAATGAATAATTAATTTGACACAATGTTTACAGACTACTTACAGCAACTATTGATTTGAGCAAAAATGTGTTTAGCAATCTAGCCTATTTTTAAAGTCCTATCCATAGACCCCAGAATCTTAAGTCATATTTCTAATTTATATCTCAACTAGCAGAACCCGTGGCTTCGCTCGGGCTAAAACTACAAAAAAGTCTCTAAAAAGGTAGTTTCATGGAAAACTTTCATCCCCTATTTCACCCTCTTATAGGATTTACTACACACTGAAACTTAATTAGTAAGTTACTGCAGGCTAAATAATACTTTGACATATAAAATTTTCGACGACACGTTTGGCTCAGTTTGTAGTGACCCTACTTGCTGTGGCAGCGGACGCGGGATCGAGTACCGCTGGGGGCATTCGTTTGTGTGATGAGCACGAATATTTGTACTCCAGTCATGGGTGTTTATATTTATAATATATATGTATTTAAAGTTATATATCTATGTGTAGTGAATATCAACTATCTGGTATCCATAACACAAACCTCGTAGCTTACCATAGAACAACTTAGTTGGTGCTGTGTATTAATGTCCCAATATATTTATTTATTTAATAAGTAAATTTTTGATGTTAACAACGACTCTGTACGTAAGCTTTAAACAGGTAGCCCGGACGACGACGATTAAAGGAGACAGGACAGGAAATGCGGTTATGTGGTGATTTCGTATCGTATCGAACCTGCCCCCGTAAACAATTTATTCAACTTAGTTATCTATAATTCATATGGCTAAAACCAATTAAATAATTATAAGACACATATTATGTAGATACGTTTCTATTGAGTTTTCTATAAGTAATAGCGATTATGAATGTTCTTTTATTTAAGCCCGGCGGGCGGCGATTCATTATTTTGTAGAGTTCTTACAACTGTGGATTTCTCTTGGAAATTTCAGGATGCCGCTTTAAAAATATTTTTTACCTGCCGGCTAACTCTACTTCTTTATTGAATTTGTGTTTTCAATTCTATTTTTCGACAAATATGGAATGCTTGTCTGCGTCAATGGCATCCTAATGTATGCAAAATTGAAAATTCTGGTAACAAAACAAAGTGGTAATTTTCTTGTTCGTGATTAAAAAATAATTTAAATGTATTGCTGCCATGGCAAGGCCGTCATTTTTTCTGCCCTTACCTCGCTTTAGAAGCGTTTTAAATTTATCTAATAAAAAGGAATAAACAAGAGCCAATAAAACATAGCATGAGAATAATCATCAGGTTACGTAATAAAACCCATAGTGTAATATAGTGGGCTTTATTGTCCCTAAGGTTAAACCTTACAACATAAATATGTAAAGTGAAGTTATTCTGAACAATAATAAACTATACAGTCAAAAACTATTATAAACGACATAATAGTCAAATAATATATGAAAATATATGAAATAGTAATTAAACACTCAAACTATTATTATGCAACCAAAAATGTAAAATATTTACAAAAAACAGTGGCACTGTCGACGATCTACATGATATTGAAAAGATAGGCAGCGGGAGAATCACAATACCTAGGTAGTGACAATGAAGGCCTTTTTATTTGTCTAAATAACGTAGTGTGAATATCTTAAGGCCTGATACACACTATAGTGCCGATCACGGTTCATTCTCGGTCTGATACCGGTTTGGTAAAGTATTTTTATACAGGAAACAATGAGTGCATTCATTCACACTATCAGTAAAATTAAAGTTCCGCTCGAGTAACACTCCAGCAACGTTTCTTGTATAAAAATACTTTACTAGACCGATATGGGACCGAGATTGACACTATAGTGTGGATCGGCCCTAAAGTGGGCTTTATTTTCCCTTTAGGCCTTATAATAAATCTGCAGGTATGTTACAAATTACTATGTGTAAAGTGACAGTGTTTGTAATGTTAGTTTTAATCTCTAGTTAAATTAAAGTTTAACAATAAAATATATTTTGATGTTTACGCTTACTTATGACGTGACATAACTTAAACATAGATTTTTTTGAAGTAATACTCCTTTTGGCACGTGTGGAATAAAAATATGAGAGTAAAATTTTTACAATGCGCGCGCACAGCGACAGCCAAAAAGCGACATGATGAAGTTAGCTGAAAACGACATGATGAAGTTACCTGCATTCCTTTTACAAACAGGGAGCAGTGACGTACGGGATAAAATCTTTAGCTATTTTTATACTGTTACGCCAACAAAGAAATATAACTTCTAACGTGCGTGCGTACACATGTACACACACACGTATTTTTTTCTAACTTGCGTCATTTTAATGTCCACTATTTGAATTAAGTGACGTTTAGAAGAAATAAATTTTATATTTTCACATATGTGTTGTCAAACATTTTGACCAGGTGAGGTGGAGGATGAATATGGTCGCCAGGAGAACGATATAGAAGTCTATGGTTAGTGTCTAAGTGGATGTAGACAGAGCACTTTTTGTTTTGTCTCCGTTGACTGCAAGTCCATCGAGAGGCTTTTCCTTTACGAATTATACTTTGTTTTGAAAATGTATAGCCTTCTAGCACAAAAATATTATTACCAGTGGGATACTGCACTAATGCACCTAAAGAATAAAAAATAATATTTAAGTAATAACATGGATATTTTTGAGTTAAAATAGAAGTTGTATGTATGTATGTATGTATGTATTTAAATAATATTTTCTGTGCATTTCAAATTAGTTAAATACTTTAGTAGACTTGACTAGAATTTGTTTAATATATTTATGACTATAGTAAAAAATATATCATATTTGACAATAAAACAAATATTTTATAAAGAACCTTTATTTTTATTTATACTTGCTTAACATATTATATATTATCTCAATTAACATTACAATAGTAATAATTTCATTTACCTACTTTAATTATTTTTAATAAAAAAAATAGCAAACAAAGATGAAATCAACAAAATATATGTTCTTCTTTAAATTATAAGACAACCGTCAAATTTCTAACAAAAAATACATATATCTCTAACGCTGAGAAAAGTAATTTAGACTAAGAGCTTGCCCACATGGTACACAGGTCTTTTTACGGAGAATCACCATCGACCAAAAAATACTAAATACACAATTCCATGCAAAAGTTCTCTTAAAAATGTCACCAATTGTGTTTAGGTAATTATTGTAGTTGAAATAAGTAAACCATAATGTAAATTGAACTTTAAATGCAAGGCTTAAAATTGTAACAGGTTCAAATGAGCGCTCATTCGGTGAGGACATTTTTTGTCGCCGATTGTATATCTAGTATTTTTTTTGATTGATGGGAATCACCGATTAAATAGCAAGTACGGCCTCCTATTAAAATTCAATTGAGCTTGACTTTTAACCGTAGGATCACTTTAGCGGTCTTTTACTACTACCCTTGCAGCTATAACAAAGCCAGCCGCCATCGATCCTTGGAACGACTGCATCGGCTGACGCAGCTTTGGGATTGGAATTAATTTTTAATAAGGTTGTCTTCCTCCCTGTTTACTCTGCTATGAGAAAAGTATCAGGAACAACCCGTATTTAAGATCTGTTAGAACTTTTTCTCTAACGAGGCCAATAACAGCTTCCACACATGGCTGGATTACCGCCAACATTTAACACTACCGAGATATACAAGATTAAATTAAGATTTTGCTTCTTTTGTAATTAATTCAAGGATATCAAATTCAAATAACAGTCTACTAATATTTACGAATTATATGTGCTGTATCTAAATATATATAATATAGTTTTTTTTTCGGATTATTTCGCGGATTTATTTAGATTTTTGGTTCCCGACGTTTCGAATGCTTTACAGCAATCATGGTGTCGGGAGAAACTGAGGTGTTGCATGTCTCGAAGTATTCGCGTAAATCTAAGAAAGTATTATACATAATATAGATTAAAAAAACCAATTAGAGAGTGATTTTTTATGAATCGTATCTATATTTTTTTTTAGTTCCAACCAACCATTTCATCATTTTCATAATGTTTCCTCTGCGAGATTCTTATGCGCATGAGTTCTTTTATTTCTGTAAGTTTGACTATATGCTTTCCATTTCTCTCTTAATTTACTTTTTTCTTTAGAACTTAACATAGATATGGGTTTTATTTGGCCTTTCTCTTTCTTTTTTAAATACTTAAGTCTTTCTAATGCTCGCTGTTTTTCCAAACTTTTCGAATCAGACTTGATTTTTTCTCTACGCTTCCTATTATATTCTTTCTTCTTTAATTTAGCAAGCACTAAAATACGAAAACAGTGACAAATTAAAGGGTAAAAGAGCTAGAAAACAAAAATAAATGCAGAAAAAATCTAAATATATGTATGTGGGCATGATTAATGACCTCATATGAACATATAACATATACCTATTTAAAAAAAACTTACTGTTTTTCAATAATTTCATTTCGTAAACTGCTATACATAAATCTATGTAACATATATTTATTTATATTTGAATTGAGTATTTGGCTGTTAAATTAATAATTAATATTATGGGTCAAAACCAAAATTTTGGCAAATTCCCTTTGTGTTTATTTTTATGTGACATTAACATAAAAGTAACATAAACGAATATAAAGGTGTATTCATAATGTGAGAAAAAACAGTCAAGAATTGCATTATTTTTATTATAATTAAAATTAACAAACTTTTTAAACTATTCAAATTAATAAATTTCAAAACTATTATAAGCGCAACGCATAGTTCTAATATGACGGTATACGCGAATCCACAAGATTTTTTTTAAAGTAATAATTATCATAATGAATCGCTGAAATAATTATTATAATTAGCCACCTGAATGGAGCGTTACGGAACTGAAAATAATAATGTTGATGTAGGTAAATAATCAATAAATCACTTGGTATGTTTAATACAAACTAATACAATAATTGGAAACATGAAACAAAATTTTATAAAGACAGTAGTAACGATGAATATGAGCAACTTTTATTACCAGGGCCAACTCTGAAATATAAGAGTTAGCAAAGAATTTTACAAACTACAATGCAATAAAAATCGTGTGATTTATCTCACGGACAACAACTCACAGACAACACACCTCAAAGACATAACAAGTAACTGACAACTATACAAAAAGTATGCCTTTTTTTATAGAAAATAATAAAAAAAAAGAAAATGTTATAAAATGTGACATGTTTGTTGCATACGACACCATAGTGAGATAATAATTTGAATCATCAAGTACTGTAGATAGATGGTGATTAATGGTATATTTCAGTGTTGATCCCCTAGTAAGTTATTAAAAAAAGTAATTTTAGTTAATAGTATAATAGTATAAAATAACTTTTTATTACTCTTTTAGACTCTTTTTATTTATTTTTTTATTTCACTTTTATAATTAATGTAGTAACTTTTACTATGGGAGTAACTCTGAAATCGAGAAAAAAACAACTATTTCATATATTTTTGCATAACTTATTAACTTGACGTAGGTAACTAATGTTGTGGGAGCAGTAGACTTCTGTTTCATGATTTCAGGGTTGATCTTTTACTAGTAACATACATGAATATTAAATAGGTATTGACAATTATTTTCATCTCCTAATTTAATGACTTGAAGATCGCCTAGAATGAGCGTAAATTGAGTTAACAGTAACGGTTTAATTTTAATCACTATCGCTAAAAAGTTCCTGAAAATCTGCTTTCAAATTAGCTGAAGAAATATTAAAGTATTCTGAAGATGATTTTTTCATCATTTGCAATAATTGCTTTGGTTTAAAATTAACTTTAATATTGGGTAATATAGTCACTGATTTAGAAGTAGATGCACCTTTATTCACATCTTTTTCAGTAGAGATATAGTTAGACATTATGTTGGCAGGACGATTTTCGTCAGTATAAACAAAATCATCACACTCAGATGGCGACTCTATTATAGGTCTCTTATACACACGTATTTTAATACAATCCTTGATTAATTTATGACTTTTTATTGAATAACATTGACAGAATTTTGAACAGAAGCAACTCAACTTTGTTTCGGAATGACTTGATGTATTTTTTGGGTATTTGGAACAGCCACGAAATTGCAATCTTAAATTTGTCTTTCTATGTTTCCAATAGATTCTTCCGTGATGCAATATAGCTTTACAGTAGTCTCGTTTTGGAGTAAATTTATTGCAGTTTCAGCATCCAGTATATCATCACCGAAGGAAACCTTTTTATCTAGTAGTCTTTTTATGACGCCACCAACTCCGTCAGCTGCTCCCTTTCCATGACTAGCTTCAAAGAAATTTCAAGTGGATGTGAAGCCATATTCCTTTATCTTTATGTTTAAAAGTGCAAAGTTTTTCTTTTTCCTATATTGGCTTGATGTACCGTCACAAAAAAAGCACAGTATCTATATGTGGGGAATTAATTTTGATATTTTGTAGTAAAGGCTTTAAGTGAACCCAAATGGACTCCGGGGTGTGTTTGTGGCAGTTCGAGAAAGTGCAAAATGTTTCGGGCTCCTTCTGTTGAGAGTAAATAATGCTAGTATGCAATGTAATTTGAGAATGTGATGCCCCACAGTGAAGTGCTTGTATTTGATTATGAGATATGTTGTTTTAGTTCTCAGAGAAGTCACAATGTAACAAAATTTCATTGCTTTGTAATTTTTCCTTTAGCGACTTACATGCCTGATACTGACGGGATATGTTATAAATATGCACTTTAAAATTTTCAACTCTCTTTCAAAATTAGTCATAAAAGATTGTAGCGTACCTGAAATAATCTGCTTTACTGTCTTGTTAGCCATTTTCTTTACTTGATTTTTTTCATATTCTATTGTTTTGACCGTCCACTCTAACCATGATACTGGCTCATCTAATGTTCGGTCTAGTAATTCATACTCAAAGCATGTATCTTTGTAAAAATCACATGTTGAATACATGCAACCTCGCGAGTTAGAATCAGAAACTGTAGAATTCACAATATTATATAAAGTATCTTTGCCCTTAAGAACCTTCAAACGTTTAAGTGAAGTAAATTTAAACTCAATATTATTACGCCTTTTACAAAAACATGTGTCACGATTTGATAAATTCGGGATCATCACATAAAATGGTTTTAAGCGCCTGAATGTGGTATAAGATATAGGTGTGCCAGTATCATTTATAAATTTTAATCGTAATTTTTTCATAGAGTCTAATAAATATCTCCTCTGCATTTTAACTTTTTGTTTAGTTTTAGTTTCCTACTTACCGGCAGTAGCTCGGCTCACATCATATTGGTTAAAAAAGACAGAAACCTTCTTGGCCAGTTCTATGTATTTTATATTTACTTTCTTTCTAAGTCTTTTTCGACATCCGATAGCAGATTGCAATTTACTTTTCATTTTATATTTTTTAACATTGTCATTGTTTACAATTTTTTATATCTTTCTATTTGCATTTTTCTCTGATTTAGCATACTCCTGTTTAATTGATTCTAACAATACATTTTTCTGCAGTAATTCTCTTGTAATTATTTTTTTCTCTTGTTTATTAATATACAAATTTGCAAGAAATTAATTTGTTTTTGATTCAGGGCTTGATATCGAACAATCTTTATAATCGCTTCTAATATTTTCTTTTACTTCGCCATTTTTTATATTCTATGAATTTTTGAATCTGCATATTCTTTTTTTTATGATTTATTTTCTTTACTCAATAATTCAATTTTTTTCTTAAATTTTTTGTTTTCTTTAGTTATTATTCTGTGTTTCTCCTGATATTATTTTTGGTATTTTTTTCGAGATTCACACTTTTCTACTTCTTCTTGCTGCCATAATTTCTTTTTAAATTCCTCCAGTATTTTCGCCTATTCGTCTTCTCCTTGTCCGAAAGCTCTCCAATTTTTTTGTATAATTTTTTTGTTCGTACCAAATTCTTTTTTTGTAATTCATTATACTTCTCAGGATCGTTAATTTTTAACCGTTCCCGATATGTTTTCTGCCTTTCAGCAGCAGTTAAAGGCCTTTTATCTGCGAACAAACACAAAATCGGCTTTACTTTGAAGCAAATTTAAAAAAAATCGTCAAATCCAACATGTAAAAATATTAACATGTGCACTATAAAGTCGAACATGTATTTATAAGTGTTTACACACAGAAACGGTATAATATGTCAGAAAAGTACATTCATATCTACTGTGAACACACCTTGATGCAAATTTTATGTAACGTTACATATAAATGTTAAATAAATCTAATATATTTAAACGAGCAATTCTTGTATTTATATTTAAGTATATCTATATAATCTGAATTTCGGAAACGGCTCCAACGATTTTCATGAAATTTAGTATACAAGGAGTTTCTAGGGCGATAAATCGATCTAGATTAGTTTTCTACTTTCGCATTATTCCACGCAAAATATGGTCGCTAATTCGCACGCTAGGATATAAGTATCGTTGTCAAACGGCCAAGGCGCAAGTTAGACAACAAAAGGCGTCTGGGTTCGTATCCCGGTCGGATACATAGTTTTTACTTTTGTTTTTTTTTTGTATTTATTCAAATTTTTAATTTGTTTTTTACTTAAATGTTTTTTGACCAAAAACTCCGAGTGAAGCTCGGTCGCCCAGGTACTATAACATAAAAGAAGCATGGACGATGTTTTTGAAGTGTTAAATTCCAATGGCAGACACGCTTTTCACTTAGGAATTACAGGTCATGAACGATTGAATAGCACGAACCAAATAGTTTGCTGACATTAAGATTAAAGAACACGCATACTTACATGTTGTTTTTTAAAGCTATTGCACGTAATATGCAATAATGTTTATTTTCAAAATCACACACAACACTTGCACCTTGTTATGACGCGAACAATATGGCAGCCTTGCAGTGATTGGTCGGCTAGTGGCGTGACTATGCCGTTAATGTTGCCGGTATTAATTTCATGAAAATCTTATTTTATTTTAAAATAATGCGTTACATAAAAGAAATAACATAAATGAAGTAGTTTAGAGATGTGTTGTCTTTATTTAAATAACGCTTGAATATACATATTTAATAATATGTTAACTGTATATACGATTTAACGCACCCTTATCCCACATTAATAAGGACTATAAATACTTTTTTTTGGATAAATATAAACGGTAATTTTCGGTTTGAAACATAGAAAACGGACGTTGGACACAGGTTTTTTGAAGGAGAAGGATGGTATCATATTAAATATTTTCCTTTATATATTGTTACATGACGAAATTATTATCAAATTATATTATTATTAAATCTATGGTTGTCTTACTCTTTGAAATTCAACATTTTATTAACATCGATTTTACAGAAATTTTGTGGTAAAAGTTGGAAGACATTTAAGAAAATTGCCATTATTGTGGTTTTGACCCTTATAACAGTATTTTTCAAGTAGTAGTAATCCCTTTAAATAGCTGTACAAGTTCTTAAATACGTAAACTATTCGGACCTATGAGGTAAACTAAAACAAAGGAAAACATAAACCTATTTCTTTGCAATACTATTAAAGCCATTAATTGTACCGGGTCCGTCAAGCTTTTATACCCGGCGATTTACTTTCTAGTAGCTTTCTTATAAGCAAAATATTTTTTTAGAATCTGTTCAATATTTCAATAGATTATCTTTTTATAATGAGGTAAAATAAAAAAAAATACTTTTGCTTATGTCAACTAGAAGATGAGTTCAGCCGGGCTACAACAATATATCAAATTCGTTGTGACTTTAATACAAGTATGTACCGCCATCTATCATCACTTTTTAAAACTAATCAGTCATGGGAAAGACAAGTGCATTATCTATAGTCTATTGTAAAGTGTAAGTACCATGGAAATTATAGATATTCATAATAAATTCGAAATAATACATAAAACTAACGAAAGGTAATATTCAATTATATACGAATTACATGTATGTAGGTATATAGATATGTTTTACATTTGGCCTGATTTGTGTAGAGTTTTGTTAATTTACTGCCTGATTTTTTATTTTAAAATTGCCTTTATAAACATTTAGAAATGACTATAGTAAGTGACAATATCGTAGTTAACAAAGGTAAGTTAAAAAAATGAAGGTAATATTAATATTATACGTGCTTCCTGTTACATAAATCAGAGCATGCCGCTATTCTTTGCGGCATGCTTTGATTTATAACGTATTCTTAGGATGAGGGGTTTCAGATTTCTGGCGTTTTATAGCGAGTTATTTAGAAACGACATATATTTAAGTTTTGAAATGTGTTATTTTAAGATTCCTCACGACATTTAATTTAAATTTAAAACATAAAATTGACGATTCAAAAAAATTATAATTAATACTCGTAAAAGTTGCAATTTAGGTATTTTAGCCATTTGATACATGATCATCAAAATGTTACTGTATAGAATACCTAAAATAAAAAAATTAAATTCTATAATATTTCAATATTTGTTTATTTAAGTCTAGATCTGAATTTACGTAAAAGCGTGTTTGTTAGTGTTCGTTCATGAAAATACCAGTTGGATTAGATTAAGAATGAGAAATACAGTGATGTGCCATTGTAAATCAAGAGCCATTCACAACGCAGACTCATTCAATGTGACCATTTCGGTCTTAGTATAACCATCTGTTTAAAAAGTGTAAGTACTAGGAAACATGCTTCTTTATCCTTTGATGACTTATTAACATTTGTGACATTTATCAAACAAACAAGAGCGATATACTTTTCTTGAAAGATGAACCATAATATGTATGTACCAAACAACTTTGAGGATTCAATTTTGTCTACGATGACTTCGAAATAATTTAGTATCTTCCTGTATTAATTTTTTGAAAATGCTTACTGTATCATTTTAAAAGAAAGATTTCAAGTAAATTTTACATTTGTTTCAGGTTGTTTGGAATTTAGTTTAGCTAGATTTGTATTCAATGATCTTGACGCACGCCTCATGGCACTTGGATATCTCAGATCGTTGTATTAATATTACAAATTCTCAAACGTTAGACTGTTACGAAACAACAAAAGCAATAATTGTATTATTTATATAAAATCAATAGTATATATGTACGTAATACAAATCGTAAAAATTAGAAAAATAAATAAAAAACGTTTACATTGTAGTACATTTACATTTATTTAAAATTTTACATTTAACTTGCTAGTAAGTGTAAGTGTAGTATATATATATACTTTAATTTAATCAAGTAGCTTATAAATTTCGTGGTGTTCTGGGTTAGCAAATAAAGTACAGCATTTACAGCACGAAACTAGACCCAAACCGGATCTATCATTCGAGATAGATACCCCTCAATCGAAATAATATCAGAACCCTGTTATTTGCTTCACAATTACGTTTCGGCAGGCGCTCATATTAATAAAAAGACGCATGGCACTCACTCAGACGTATATGGATAAATCGAAGCGCAGACGTTCGTGGATCAATTGCGTGGGATCACTACACATTTTTTTTTCACAGGTTTTTAGACACTGAATTCTTACGACTAAATCAACAAACATTATATTATACTTACTTTAAATACTAAAGAGTCAATGTACAATAAACGAAAAGCTATAGCAAACAAAACTAACAAGAATAGTTCCTCAAGAACATTAAGTTATACTTACCATTAACAGGTTTCACCAATCGTGAATCGGAGGAGTCAAAAATTCGGGGAGGATGAGTGTGAATTTGTTTGGATTTAAAAAGCAACTGATAATCATGATCCAAATGCACGTACACATTACATCTGTGGCTTAGACTGCAAATCCATCGGGAAGCTTCTCCTCCACGGATTAATTTCTGTTTGCAAAACGTATGACCTTCTAAGACAAACATAGTTTTGCCATTTCTACTCTCCATCAACATACCTGAGAAATATTTTATGAGTGTAAGACGATGTACTAATAGAACAGAGTGTATTTAAACTATTAAATGATATCTTCTATGTTTTGGATTTACTCATTTAAAACTTAACCATAAATGATAGGTACTAAATAAAATGTATTTCATTTTAAAAAGTACCAATAACACACAATATCTATTATATTAGTATTATTATAGGTAATAATAAGGAAAACTGATTAAAAAATGAAGGATTAAATCTGGTTATAACCGTTTATTAATATTTGATTAAGAATAAAACAACTACTTTAATTGTTATTGTTTATATTTAATAAACAATAATTAATTCAAGTTGAACATGTACGGAAGTTAAAAGACTTATTCGAAGTTATTATTTTTTTATCATTCTTAAATAGTCTTATAAGTTCCTCGTGATCGCAAAAGTTGAATTGAATGCGTAAAATAGTATACTGCTTACTTTTCTAGAGATCTACAGTCGTTTTTTGTCATGACGAAAACTTATGTAGATATACATACAATACATTGTTAGAGTTGTTTTTATAAAATTTAAATAAAATATAGATTTATACATATAATAAAATTGTAACTAAACCGAATCTGTACATTAAATATTTTTTGGAAAAACTTATTGAAATAAACATTATTATCGATACAGAGGCCGAATCTATAGTTTTTAGAATTTTTGTCTGTCTGTCTGTCTGTTACCGCATCACAGAAAAACCACTGGAGGGATTTTGATGAAATTTAGTATGGTGATAGCTGGTTATCCGGGTCACGATATAGGATACTTTTTACTGCGGGAAAATATCTCATTTCTGAGAAAAAATACAAAAACTGCAATGTAAGTGTATACTAATATGTAAAACCTAAGAATTTGGTTTTTGGTCATCTGTACGCGGGCGGAGCCGCGGGCAATGCTAGTAACAGTATAAAAATAATAACATCTACAAAGTAGGTTCTTTTAAGAGGTAATAGTATAATTTAAAGGAAATCAAACATTGAAGATGATGATAGTAAGGTATTGCCCCAAATGACTACGTGTTCATTTTCTTTACAAATGCACATTTCATCAAAACATTTTATGTCAACAAAAACGCACTTCGTTACCTTAGCAGTATTCTGTGGGCATTGTTATAATTTTATTTATTTCCTCATATTCTAATTTTAAATTTAAAGTTTCTTTCGCTTTCACGCTGCTATAGCAGGAAAAAAGTACTACCTTGAACAATTTACAAATACCTATACAATACATAAATAGTATCAAATGAATATCATTGAATTTGGGTTGAAACAGGTTCAGATATAGTAGATTATCTTGTATTTACTACATACATATTTTAAAATCGTGTAAAAAGACAAAAGTCAACTAATTTAAAAAAAAAAATTACTACCTATTTTCCTATCATCAAATCAAATATTTGTTTACTTATAGTTTTTTTCCATTAAGCAAAACATTACATATTAAAAAACATTATATTTACGCTTTGTACACAATAAATTTTTCGACATTTACCAGGTATCTTTAGTTTGCTATTTGTCCACCGTTTTGCAATCCCTACATTTACATAGCATACATTATAAATGTCATGCAAACATTTGTTGCAAATAGGAAAGAAATTTTAATTACAATCAGCGGCAGGCATCTTAAAATAAAGTCCATTATTGAGTTGACAAATATTTGGTGGATGATGACTGTGCGGGTGGGAGGGAGCCTTAAGCAGATTGTTAAAATTATCTAAATGAATATAAGCTGGGCATGTATTATGTTTGGTGCAAACCCATCTCCTTGCCATCCCACTACGAATGGATTTGTGCTTACAGTAAGTATATCCGTCCAAAAAGTAAGCACTTCTGCCTGAAGCGAACTCGATGATAGTACCTGTTCAAAAGACACGGATAAATGAAACAATTAGATACCTATTAAACTAATTTAATCGTAAGTAAATAGCGCAACCATATGTGAACACCGTGTTTGTAGAATGCAAAAACATAAAATAAGCTAATTTAAATGCATGCTGTTGTGAAATAATTAATATTCAGTAGGTATACTAAATTTGGGTTCAGCAGCGTTGTTAATTTACAATTTTGGACAAGTCCGGAGCATTGGTCCACGAACGTGCTACGATTGATGCGTATGTATGTTGAAGTAGCGCGCGTATGCGCCAGAGGCCCAAATGGTTTTTTATTTGTTTATTGAAGATATGCTCAATTTATGGGAAATACGAAATTAGTTTGAGTAAGAACGTGTTTCAGAGTCGGGCTCGGGTATGTGCAGTGTAAGCTGCACTTAAATATACTTAAAATTTACGCGAGCCGATAATAAAGTCCATTTTTTAATTGATGTAAACTTGGAGGAGAGTGATTATGCGGATGCGTAGGCGCCAAAATCAAATTGTAAGAGTTGTCTAAGTGAATATAAACTGGACAGGTTTTGTGCTGGCTACAAATCCATCTTCTGGCTGTTCCATTTCGTATAGCCATGTGCTTACAATACGTATATTCTTGGAGGAGGTAAACGGTTTTTCCTGTGTTGTATTGGATCAGGCTACCTGTTTAAAATGTAAAATATTGTATTTAATTACTGTACAAGCTTTATATTTGGAAGAAAATCATTATTTTTATACAAAATCATTATATAAACAATAAAAAATATATTTTAGACAGTATAACCTACATACTTTATTAAATTGAAAACTTTTATACCTTTTAAAAGTTTTTAATTTCTTGGCGGTGTAAAAATAAAAGTGTTTAATAAGTATACCAATACAACGAAGGTCGCCAGTAGAATTAAAAAAAATGATTTTTAGTTCCTTTCTGTTACAGAAAAACATATCTTATACATTTTTAACAAAGAACCGATGAAATGTAAGTTTATAGACAAATTATTCTTTTTGTCGTTATCAGTTTACTAGGTTTGAAGTCAGGAATTTTTGTCACCATCAGTTTTTTAGGTTTTGTATATTGAAAAACAGATCCTCTGATTGTCATTACTTTTAAGCTTCAAATATTAACTTTATTTCTACGTTATTAATTAAATGAACACGCCATGAACTGTCCTATGGAACTTATGTTGCGGATGAGAATGGTTTGTTGTTTGCCATGTTTGTATCTGAAAATCCGTGTCCAGGTGCAGATATACAGAGTATGTTCATTTTGTACACTGCCGTCCCGATACTTCATCTTGGAGTCTTTGTTGTTTAAAGAATTTATGTCCCCTTAATATAACATATTTCGCCTATTATGCAGCTTATAATAATATACCTAACTATTTAAATAAGTTTTCTCCTTTACAATTTATAGAACATTTACACTATTCGAGTTTGCTAAGAAAATAAATGTAACTATGAACAACATTTAATAAAAATAAAATAAAAATATCAACATATTTTACATTCCATTTCATTATTAATATTAAAATTTAAATAATAAGAAACTAAAAACACTGCTTTGTAAATAATTTACACTCGAAAATATTTTCCAGCGCCAGTCATACGATATTTTGAAGGTGGATGATTGTGAGGCAATTTGCCGTAAAGCACTGTAAGGTCTTCACGTACGTGAAGATAGACATTGCAAGATGCCTTGTTACAACAGTATCGTCTTATTTGTCCTTCTGTTATGCTGCTATATCGATTCAGTAAATGACTTGTCATAAAATTCTTAAAGTAATATGGATATCCATCCACTAACAACAATTGTTTGCCGTTAACCAACTGTATAAGTTCGCCTTGACGATTTAAAATACCTGAAACTAAAACTTTCATAATTAGCCATTTAATCGATTTCCCTGATATTATATTTTTTCACATTTAACATTTGCATTATATGAATGCTATAATTTTGTAAACGATATCGCCATGTTATTTCCGTTATACTCAATTAAACTTTTTTTTTTAATTTTTGAAGAAGGTCGTTAAGTAAGAGAAAAGAAAGAATAATAATAAATATTTAACGCTTTTGCTTAAATTAAACATCATTTAGTTTAAAATACTTTATTAAATGCGTTTAAATGCCAAAAATATTTAGAAGAAGCATCAGCGTACATCGCTACGTTTACTTACAAATAATATCTAGGTATAAAAATAGACAATATTAGTCCAATAAATGCATGAAATTAAAAAAATTAGCTGTACAAATAAAACGAGATCTAACCATCGAGATACATGATTATCACATGAAACACACAGTCTTAATTAATATTATCAATGTATCACAATACCTAATACTGGACACGTCACAAATACAAATTATCACACAAATGTTAAAATAAACTTAAAAATACCAGAAACTGATACGAAACTAAAATCTACACACGAGATGTAGAAAGGCACTTTTTCCAAACTTCAATAAGATGAAATGGACTTAACATACGATTTTTAGTTTCATGTATACAGATATCGTTATTAGTAACTTTACCGTTAGATCTAAAATCAAACTTCAAATCTAGACTACAATTATAAATCAACTTAATTTAAAAATAATCATATGACTTCAAAAGTTTTTTAACAGTCTTATTCCAAAAATCAAAATTTACATCAAGATCTCGTTACTTCTAAAACGGTACATGATATGCGAATACTATCACTTAAGTGTAACAACTAAGCAAATGGTATATAGTTTTTACGCATATATGAGACATTAATATTAATAGGATTTGCAATATGGAAATATATGAACGACTTCTCGTCTATAGAAGTATCGATAATCATTTTCTTCAATATGGTTACATAAAATATGAATTCTTCTTTATTTAATATTCTAAGACATATTGGTGTATTAATCATTGAATATAAAATATCGGGCATATATTATCAAATCGTTGAAGAACCTAATAATTATTATATACGCTATGGGCTACCAAATAATCATGGAGAGGGGTAAGCGATGGTGGTTCTGATGGGTGTTGCATTGGTGTACCATTCTCTTTGTTACCAGTTCCATTCCATGGAAAATTTGGTTTCACTGAAGTTCTAGCTTCTTTCTTCATGCTAGGTGGATGACTGTGATAGACATTGGCTTTCAGAACTTCTAATTTATCAGTGATTATCAGGTGAGCCTTGCATTTCCATTTTGAACCGTAAGCCGTGCAGCTCCAACGATGCGCGTTGCTTCTGGCCTTCAAGTGTTTGTAGAATGTAAAATTGTTCAAACGCAAGTTGATGCGACCGTTCGGGCGAAGATAAAACTCAACTGTGAACAAAACACCATAAAAACTATAATTTCTATATTGAAATCGTGTCAAGTAATATCGGACAAATAAAAACAAAAAAGGAAATCTTTTTTTCGTTTTTATTTATATCCTTATTTATTGTTAGAACTAGTAAATAAAAATAACTTTCATATTTATTAATTTTAAACCAGCATAGAGAAAGTACACCAACATGCCTCAAATCGCAGATATCAAGGCACAATGAAATCAAGGTCATTAACATTAATATAGGTATATATTATAAAATAAAGATACATATGTAATATACAATTAAAGATATTTAAAAAAAAACATTTTTAATAAAACCAAAATAAAGTAAAAATTACACAGTCTTTAACATTTGCTTTCATTTGAAAATTTTAAATCAAATTAGAAAAGAGTGCAAATGTTTAAAGTCTAAAGTCAGTTGAGTTCTATTTCACTTACTAGTGTCAATAAAAAAATTAACTTAATAACAATTTATTATACATCGAATATTAGAGAGAATTCGTATATAGATTAATATTGTATGGATTTTAAATATTTTGGGAATGTTCTAAAAACAACATGGTCGAACATTGCAACAGCATTAGGAATATATAGATCATTAATAGTTAATAATTGGCCAACTGGAATTAAATATTAGTACATAATTTGTGGGTAACCAGTGGAAGATGTTTTATTTACAAAACTTTTTTTATCCATTACTGGTTCTCTTAATCATTTAAATCTATAGTGAAGCCATACCGTCATGCTAAGACGTTTTAGAGTCGCTTGCGTACTTAATCTAACGTGAACTAATATTCCTTGTTAAAAGTTTAGAAATTATAATTTTAATATAATATGCTTAAAAAGTTTTCGGAAGACATGTAAAGTCCGTCGACTCGCACTTAGCCAGCGTGGTGAACTATGGCATGACAACCCTCGTATTGAAGGGAGTCCCGTGCCCAGCAGTGGAACGTTAAAAAAAGGGCTAAATACAATACATGCTTAAAAAGTAAATCAGTAAGAAAATGTTTTACATTAATAAAGAAGAATGATTTTGTACATTCTTAAAAAATCATATTGCTAAACGTATGTATTTTTAAAACAAAGCTTTAAGTAATAGTATCTATCCTACTGCATAAGTAACAGTCATCACTCCTTAGGAACTACTGTCTTTCTTGGTCTATAAGAATAATAGAAGAATACGATCGATAAAGTATATAATATTCATTTAAAAAAAAAACTAATTATATTAGTATCAAAAACCAGCACGTCCTTGTATGCTTGCAATTTTTAATGATAGTCTAGACTTATCCTTATCAACACAATTTTTTTTAATCTGTAACAAAAATCCATTTATTAAAAATAATTAAAACGGTAACTGATCTCAAATTTTAATATATTAAAGATAATTTCGGAAAAAAAAGAATTTTAAGTAGTTCAAAATCAAAATATTAAAAGACAATTATTAAAAAATCATTTACCTCTTCGTTTTTTATCGAATCCTTTTTGATGTTTGCAAATAAATATCTAGATGGTGGATGAGTGTGTTGTGTTTTAGCTCTTATAACGAGCATTTCCTTTGTAACGTGCAGGAATCCCCGACAAGATCGAGACCCCATTTGGGTGCAGCTCCATCGAAAACCGTCCCGAAGAATTTTGTGTTGATAATAAGTGTATCCGTTAAGCATAAGCAGATTTTTACCATTCCGACCTTTAACCATCAGAACTGAAAATTTCTAAAACGTTAAGTAAATCTATAAATCCGATACAAAATTTCGACATATTTCTTATATCATTTGTATTAATAATAAAAATTTACAAGTTAAATTTTATTTGTGTCACGCTTAATTATTACATAATATTTTATAGTTTCTTATTCTACATTTTGATGTAATTGCCATCATGAATGCGTCGGTATGGGGTAGGTGTATGACAATGGAGGCCATAGCTTTGTAACAGAACACCGTCGTCACTGATGACCAGGAAGGCTCGGCAAGACTGTGAGAACTGCTTAGAGCATTTCCAACGGAAGCCATTCTTTATTTTATAGTGTTTAGAGTAGGTAAAGTTGTCAAGCACGGCAAACACCCTCCCATTTGTAGTTTGAATAAATTGTGCTGGAAAATAACGAATGATAATTCAAAATCAAATCAAATTATACTTTATTCAAATAAGATTTTTACAAACCAATTTTAATTTTTAAATCGCCAATTTTACATTTAAAAAAATTAAATGTCAGTATGTAAGTCCGTGAGGAATCTACCACGATTCGGAAGGCAGTTCTGCTGAGAAGAGCCGGCGAGAAACTCAACAGCTGCTCCTTTTAAATATAATAATAATTTATCCTAAATGATTATCATCTAATAGTAATTCTATACATTTGCATCTGCAAAGTGTTGCGTGACGGAATAATATGCTTTGCTTAATAATATAATTACACGTTACACAATTTCAATATTTAATTGCCTTGTATATGGCCTATGTCTTGTACTGCTAAGTAAGCCAGTTGCAGTGGGTTCAATGCTCTTGTGTAGTGAATGTTATGTTGGCTATACAGAATTTTCAGTTCACCTCGGCCTACAGATTCAGCGAAAAAATTACATTGAGCGCGCATTCTGAATTTGCATAACGTCAAGTAAATCCGATTATAGCTAAAGGCGGTGTAGGGCACACACCATAACAATCAAGAAAAATCTAATAATATATATGGTTATTATGAGAATCATTGGCCTAATATTAGAAAGTATTAAGTCGATGGTTCTTAATTTAATATTGCAGCATCAGTGATATGTTTTCTTCAAGTATAATACGACATGATTAGTACGTATGTTTATTTTGTTTCTAATTGTACATCCTATAATATTATAAACTAGCGACTTACTCTCGCTTCGCTCGAGTTCGTCCCTAGGTTGCTACCGCATACAATTTTTCATCCCCATTTTCACCTTCTTATGGGAGGATTTCCGAGATAAACAGTATCTTATGTCTTTCCCAGGGTCTAAAACTATCTTCTTACCAAATTTCATCAAAATCGGTTTAGTACATCCAGATTTTACCCCCTATATCGTCACAAACTTCTCTTTATAATATTAGTATAGATATACGAGTATATACTAATACTATAGATTGTAAAAGATTGTGAGGATGGATGAAGATTTGTTACTCTTTCACGCCAGAATAGCTGAACAGATCTGGATGAAATTTGGCACAGAGATAGATTATATTCTGGAATAGCAGATAGGTTACTTTTTATCCCGAAATAATGTACGGTTCCCCTGGATACATTTATTTTTGTCGAGGGTCGAACCCTCCGGGTTATCCGGGGTCCAAAGTATATCTTATCTTTCAGTCTGAGTTTTAACTTGACAAAGTAATAGGAAGTATTTAAGGAATAGAGGTCAATAAAAACAGTGTTATTACAGTTTACAAAAAAGATTTTGACATTTTTTATTGTTGATATTACAAGTAGGTACTTAGTATAAAATTTTCTTAAATAAAATTTGGCACGTGAAGGAATTTCAAGGTAGCCATAGTGACTAGTTACTTAAGTTATATGTATACATTAACAATGTTATGCAGAGAATAGAGGTTTACTAATTAAAATATGCTTTTATTTGTCTTTTTCTTATAAACACAAACATCAAAGTGATAGATAAAGACAAATTATTTATTAGCCGATTTGGCTAAAATGGGGATAAAATATGAATAAGTATTTTTATAAAAAGTATAGAGGCGCAGGTTTTCTGAGCAAATATATTTCATAAATTTAAAAAGGTCTACATCATTTATTTTACTTCCGAGCTGTTTCCACAGACCATTTTATTATAAAAGCCTTAATTTATTGGAATGATACTGTACTAACGAAGGGAATAAATATATAAATATATATAATCAATTTTGACTTGGATTTTAAGATAAAAAAACTATAACAATATTTACCTAAAACATTTATTTTTAAAGCAACAAGCTGGAATATCGGTCACATCACATGAGAAATATACTCTATATACTCAAAGCGTTATCATTTTGCTGAATGTAACTTTTTTGGCGACATATTATAATTATAAAAAATTATAAGAATGTCTTCAATTCAATATTATTATAATTTTTTGCAACCGTTTTTTTATTTATTAATAATAAATACATATTTCACTATTATTTCAATACATTATTCATCATATCAATTAGCCTAGAAAAAAATGCTTACAAAACGAAGATTGTCTTTCAATGTCTTGCGCAAAAATCTATTAAATTATTCTAAAATTTAAATTAACATTTATATAACAATACAAACACAAATACACCACTATGTGGCAAGTCAAGTTAGGTTCTACAAAATTCACATACATACATACAAAGTTACCTATAAATTATTAAAAATATAAGACTATAGCTAAGTAATTGCATAGTTCAGACTTCGTAAATAAATTAAGAAATTTTCAAGCATGAAAATGTTGTCTTGAAAATGAAATTAATAAGTAAAAAGCAAATGATTTTGAGCTTTCATTTGATCTACATAATCTACTGTCATATATTTAATATAGTGGCATTTCTTAGCTTCGCCTATACATAGGACACAATATGTATAAGGTACCATATATTTTGGGATAGGTTCAGATTATTTAATTATTAAGTACATTAAATAGAAATGAAAATATACATAATTAAGTATAATTACATCAATCGATACTACTACAAATAAAATGTTGAGTGTTTTAATCTCTATAAATTATAAAAGCTGAGACCAACTTCTTGTTAATTTAAATAATATCGAATGTTTAACGAATGTTGCCGTTTTATTTTTTAAAAATACATTTAATATGGTTTTAATATATTCAGGAGATTAATCTTTTTGATTGCTATAACTTTCTACTGACGTGATAACTGGCAACACTGGATTAAGTAGATATCAGTCGTTGAAATTATATTTTGTGTAGTTATCTTCATGGTTATGGAACCCTTTGTGTTTTATGTAGCGACCTTCGACGGTGGTTTGGACGCAGCTGTTGCAGCCCAGACGTTTCCGATCTCTGCATGTCCAGTTTATTGTATTTTGGTAACGATTATTGATCCAATACTTGTTATCCTTGAAAATGAGAACCATGCTGCCTGTTCTATGAGACGGCAGGTAGTATATCCCTGAAAAATACCCTCGTAATTATTATGAGTACAAAAACAAACGAAAACCATTTAAAATAATATTATAATTTATTATAAATAATACCATTCGAAGTATCCTACTTCTAAACTTTAATAGGTCAAAAAACAGTAAAATAAAAGCATTTACATGTACCAGAATATTGTATTCTAAAATATCATCAAAATTTATTTCCATCTAAAATCTAGCAGGTCCCTATATAGAAACATGCTTCCAAAGACACATTAGTATAACTATACTAAAAATAATAAGTACATTTAATTACATCACATGATAGAAAACAAAATAAAATATATTTGTATATGTATTAAAATATTAAATAAAATTCATTTTAATGATTTCAATTCAAATTCAATTTCAATGATCTGAAAACATCCTTTTCTCTTATAAATCTCCCATCGTGGCACTGTCGAAGTCGTGGGGGGTCGTGAATATGGCGGCCTCGAAATATAGAAATATAATCTCGGCCGTCAAACCCTCTGTATGTTATAACATCAGCTCGACAGCCATGGACGTCCCTGGAGGAACAGTACCATTGTTTTTTCCCATGAGCTTGGTGATTCTTCATATAAAAAGTAAAACCATTGAGTATGAGAAGCCCAGCACCCGTCCGACCCGGTATAAATTGAGCTGGAACTGTCAGAAAAACCTTATTAAACCTTCATATACCTTCAATAAATAAAACACAGATCCATTTATAATAATTTATTTACATGGCAACACTGTTGATTTTGAAAAATATATAGTGATACACACCATTTGAGAAAAAATCTGAAAAATGGCATATATCCTTTTTAAGTCAACAGCATTGCTTTACCTTGAATAAAAAAAAAGTAAAGGACTTGAGGAAAGGGTTCGGGTAAATAAATAGACCAGGCATCCCGCATTACTTTATTCACCAGTTCTAGTTTTTTTTATTTCTTTATTTATTTAAAACCATAAAAATATACGTAAATAACAATTGTTTTTTCAGAGTTGCAGATTTTTTAGTTTTCAAAGTTTATGTTTTTAAAAAAATTAGATAATGGCACCATGATTGTTTTAATTAAGACAAAAAAAAGGAAAAGACTTCTAAATTGAAAAAAGGCAGGCATATTTGAATATAGTTTATATCAGATGTTGCTGTATGTTAAAAGCAAGGCTTTTAGAAGTGACTGTATAGCTTAGAATTTAAAAAGGATTTTTTTTCTTATTTAATTATTAAAATTATTTACTCTAAACTAACTGTATTTTTCATAATGTTTAAATCAGATCAAGTACTTTATCAAGCAGTTTCTTCATAATCATTTGCTAGGATTCGAACCTAGGTTAAATACTAAAAAATGAACAAATATAAATTAAAAAATATGTTAGAATAAATTATACTTAATAAAATTTCTAAATACAATCATTCACTAAATCATGATAGATTTGGGGGTCGAACCCACTATTGATTAAGTTCTCATTTTATACATAGAATATCTGGAAGTTTAGTATTTTTTTTTCATTTTAATAAGTATATTCTATATTAAATATTTAGTTTTAATTACCAAATCTGAGGTTGGGGGTCGAACCCACTCTTGA